TTTGGGGTCCTGTACTTGGCTAGACTGCCAAAACGTCTCACGTGGTACCCCCACATACTCAGGAGAAGTAGCAGAATGTATTTTGGGTAGTAATTCCACATATACCCATGGCATGTATGAGCAATAAATCATTTAAGTGACAATTTTGTGTAAAAAAAAAAAAAAAAAATTTTTTTTGTTTTTTTCCAAAAACTTGTAAAAAATAAATTCTTCTATTGATTCAACATGCCTTTCAGCAAATAGTTTGGGGTGTCTACTTTCCAAAAAGAGGTCGTTTTGGGGGGTGGGGGCGTTTTATGCCCAGCATTAGAAGTTTATGCCACACATCACTCACTCTTCTAACCACCTGAAGACCAAGCCTTTTCTGACACTTTTTGTTCACATGAAAAAAATCTGTATTTATTGCTAGGAAATTAATTTAAACCCCCAAACATTATATATTTTTTTAAAGCAGAAACCCTAGTGATTAAAATGGTGGGTACTACAATTTTTTATGGCACATAGTACTTGCACAGCGGTTTTTCAAAAGCAAATTTCTTTTTTTATAAAAATACACCTTTTTTTACTTTTAATGCACAAAAACACAATATATTGGCCAATTATTTGGTAACATATAAAAGATGATGGTATGCCGAGTAAATAGATACCAAACATGACATGCTTTAAAACTGCGCATGCCCCGTGCAATGGCGACAAACTGCATACATTTTTAATATCCATAGACAACGCTTTAAAAGCTACCATTTTCGATTTACAGAGGTCTAGTGTTAGAATTACTGCCCTTGATGTGACATTCACGGTGATACCTCATGTATGTCGCAACATCTGTTTACATATCGACACAGGGTCAATGCTTGTGCACACAGGTATGCGCATGCAAGCTTTTTGTTGTGTTTTTTGGGGGGGGTTTTTTTTTGTTTTTTTGTTTTGCTATTTTGATTTTTTTTAATTATTTTTACACTGTACCTTTTCATTTAATTTTTTTTTTTTTAATCACTTTTAATGCTATCCCAGGGAATGCAAATATCCCCTATAACTTCAATGGGCATTGTCATATATTCTTTTTTCAGAAATCTGGGGTCTATCAGACTCTAGATATCTCCTCTTCCCTTACATTATCTAATCAAACCAAAATCGGTGTGATCAGATGCTTTCCCAATGTACAAATGGCGCTGTTTTATATCTTGCGAACCTGAAGTGATGAAATGATCGTAGCTTCTGATTTCTTAGGCTATAGAGATGATTGGCACCACTCTGGTATCCAATCAGCTCTATGGTCAGCTGGCAGAAACACCGGCTGCATTCACAGGTTCCCCTGATGGCACGGGACTGTCGAGAAGGCAGTGGAAGGCAGCGGGGGCATCATCTCCTGCTGCTTGTAACAGTAATCCTGCAGCTAATTAGCCAGTAGGATTGCTTTTACATGAAAGCCGATCGCCAGCTGAAAAAAATGATACCAGGATGATGCCTGCAGCTGTAGGCATCATCCTGGTATAACCAAAGTCCAGTGATGTAGCAGTACATCGCTGATCCTTGTTGGTTATATATGCTATGTTCTTTCTTTTTTTTTTTTTTTTTTTTTTTTTGTATGTAGCCTATGGGGGCTGAATGAAAAAAAGAGAAGAAATCTCTGCCAGAAAGTGTGTGTGGTATGCCCACCATTAGAATATTCCTCCCTGCATCCACCCACTTCTAATGGTGGGCACACATTAGGTCACACTTTGCCACATGCGCCAGTTCCAAGATTGAACAAATGTCTAAATAGTGGCACGCTTGACTAAAAATTGTCCACGTGTAAGTGGTACCCCATATGGAAAAAGGATGACACCAAGTCCCAAACGATCTTGTCACTACTCTTCATGTAGTCTGGGCATCCGGTGGGCTCCTCGTGACTATCCTTTCCCTCGTAAATCCGAAACTTATAAGTATAGCCTGTTGCCCTCTCACAGGTCTTTTACATCTTGACCCCATATCTGGCACGCTTGCTGGGGAGAAATTGTTTGAATGCAATGCGGCCAGAAAAATTAATGAGGGACTCATCAACACAGATTTTTTGCTGGGGAGTATAGACATCTGCAAATTTTTGGTTAAGGTGATTTGCGAGGGGCTGAATTTTGTGGAGCCAATCAAATTCAGGGTCACCCCGAGGATGACAGTGCATTGTCGTTGAAATGCATAAAACACATTATACACTCATATCTATGCCTGGCCATGGCAGCAGAGAACACGGCATATGATGAATCGGGTCTGTGGACCAATACAACAGCAATTCATTTTTTTTAGTAATGCCCATGTTGAGGGTTAGGCCCAAAAAAAATGCACATTCGGAAACCATAATGAGTTTCCATGCGACTGGTTTGGCAAGGTTTGAATTTGGGTTGGTGGCAATAAATTGTGCATATAAATTGCTTTGATCCACAATCAACGCATACAGATATTCCGTGAAAAACCGCTCCAAAAAATCAAGGGGAGTAGTTAAATTTGCTATTTCCACCTGAATTCCGGGTTGGGCAGTGAATGGGGGAAGTACAGGTGCTGCAGAATTTGTGGGCTGTCAATCGGGATTTGCAAGCACATCTGGAAGGATACTAGGAGCTCTATGGGTCTGTGTGCGAATTCTTGGTGGCTGCAGGACAATACTTTTGCTCGCCACCGCACCGGCTTGTACTGGACTTATGGGACTCGCCACGTCACCAAGTCATACTGCAGTGGTGGTGCTATATAAATCCTGTATAATAATAATACCAACAGTTTTCTCAGCGCTTTACAGTATAACGGGAGACAATACAAGAGGGTTAGGAGGGCCCTGATCCTGGGAGCTTACAATCTAAGAGATATGTGAAAGTCCAAGATGTACTAGACCGCTGGTGCTCGCCAGTTCAGCAAAAGGTAGCGCGGCACTAGTACTGGCACTCTGCTGCATATGAGTCCTCAAAATTTACCGACAAGTGCTAACAGAGATCAGGCCTGATTCTGCAAAACACTGCGGTTTTGTGTGCAAAGTATCAAGTGACAGTGACCTACTGACACTGCATTTGCTGGGGGAGAAGGGGTGGGTGGGGGGGTAAGCGTAGGGGCTAAATGCAGGTGTTGGCCGGGGCTGATCCCGCTATAGCTGTGTTTTTGGGGACGCTATACTAATGTCAACGCTGGTATAGTGCTGATCTTATCAAAGATATTGATCCGTTCAGACACCATACTAGCAATGGAGTTTTATTGTGCGTGAGCGTGTTCCTGGCATTCAAGGGGTTAAATGTGATGACTGGTGTACTGACAGGCAATCTGATGGCCATCTGGGAGGGGTGTGAAAACCACGGGAGCACAAATCATGTATGTGTGTGTGAATATATATATGTATGTGTGTGTGTGTATGTATATATAATGTGTGTGTGTATATATATATATATATATATATGTATGTGTGTGTGATTGTGCACACCCATGCCACCCTGTAGCAGTATTTCTGCTATAGGGCGGTCAGGAAGCAGTTAGAGAATCGGTGTGTTACGGCGCTGCGTTACTTTAACTGACAATTGCGCGGTTATGGAACACTGCACCCAAATTAAATTTTCATCCTTTTTTTTTTTTCCCCCACGAATTGTTCACTGTTTGATATGCCATACAAAAATGCAAGTTAAACCTCTTTCATTCTAAGAAGCCATATATGAACATGATCCAGCCATCTTCCCTGGGCCAAAGCTCATTAAAAATGGTCAGTTGCAAAGTTTAAAACTGTTCAGTGGTCAGACAAGTCAAACTTTGACATTCTTTTTGGAAACTGTTAGTGCCACGTCCCCCAGACTAAAGAGGAGAGTGACCTTCTGGCTTGTTCTCAGTTCAAAAACCTGCATGATGGTTTGGAGGTGCAGATACATGTCTTCCCTGTGTTTTCTAGAAAGCCTGTCACTGCCAAATTCTTGCTACTGACATCATTGCTAGTGTGACATGCTAGGGTACACCCAAAGCCTTGCAGCAAGCTGCTACAACATTACAATGCATTAACACCTTAAGAACCACTTTCATGTGACAAAAGGAAGCATAGAGATGCCTTTGCTGAAATCTTGTAAATTCCAGTTGCCTTGCTGTTTCTGGCTTAAAGCGTATTTCCACGTTTTGTAGTCAAATTTGAGAAAAACCCCCTATGTTTGTGTTCCCATTCACACAGCATACCTAAAAATGTTTTTTTTTAAATCCCTCTTACCTTTTTAGATGTTTCTAATGAGGAGTCATGGCAGATTCTAATATTTTCTGGAAAGTCCCACAGTGACTATCCCAAACAGACTCTAGCTATCTTTCCTTACACCCCGGTCACATCAAACCCTACTTTGAAATTGCGAGACTTAGTGAAGTCGCACCATTTCAAAGTCTGATGACATGCCGATTTCAGGTGCGATTCGCAAGACTGACACAGATGTCTATGCAAATCGCACCAAAAGTAGTGCATGTACTACTTTATAAATATACGTATGACTGCTCTAATTGCGAACAATAGGCCGTGATTTGGCATGCGATTTGCAAGTTGCATGGCATGCAAATCGCTTGCCAATTCACATCCAGTGTGACCATGGTCTTAACATACATTCAGCAGGGCAGTTTGTAAATATTTAACCCTATGTTAGGACAGACAGTGTTCAAATCTAATTTACTGCGGATAATGAACTGAAAACACAATACAGACAAGATTATTTATATTAAATATTACTCAACAGTGCCCTCCTCAACGTCACAAAAAGGGGAGGACATGTAAAGATTTTTAAGCAAGTAAAAATACCTCAATTTCTAATTTTTTCTTATTTATTTAAGTTAAGCTAGGTTAATGGAAACCTGTACCAAATGTAAATTAGGTGTTATCCCAATCTCAGTCTACAAAAGTGAAAATACACTTTAAGTACTTTGGTGTCACTGAAGAATTCCTATTCTTCATACTTGTTCTGTATCAAGTGACAGCTAGGGAACTATTCTGAAAAGCACAAATATGCAAAAGTAGCCTCCATGATTCTTACCATTCTCTCAAGTCCCATAAAGAAACATGGTAGGTGACGCAAGTTTACAATTGATTCTTTATTTGTGTTGCCAATCAATAGCAAAGGTTTATTTAAATGTACCAAAAGTAGTTGTATATGATGATACCTGTTTTGTAGGGATTCTGTCTTCCAAAAGAAATCATTGAAGAAGCAGCTGGAGAGGGTGCAACAGAGTTCCATGATTATGAGGGAGGTGGAATAGGAGAAGGAGAAGGCACGAAAGACGTGAGCAATAAAATTGAAAATGAAGATCAGGTATGGTAATTCTTTGCACTGCATTATTCTTGCGTTTTCTTTTTTGCTAATGCCTAACTTTGATAGCACCATTACATAGGAGTTACTTTGTAAGCTGCATAAATTATAAATCCAAATATATATCTTACTGTGATTTGCAGCCTGGTGATGACAGCTATATTCAATGCCTGGAGGAGGGTCTGTTTTTAACTTTGTCATGTAATTTCCCTTTGTTTTCTGGAACTACATGTCCCATGATTTGAATCCTATTTTTTTTCTTTACTTGGGTGGAATAGTAGGCATAGTGGTGGGGGCGTTGTTGGCTAAGTGGTGTACCTGTCACAACGTTGGCAGGAGAGAGGAGGAAGCAGAAAGGTTAGCAGTGCAGATGGGCTTATTGTTCATTGTAGTAATCCTGCCCACAGCAGTTACAGGCAGCGGGTTGGCGCTCTCACATCATTGCATGAACTACATGGGGACATTGAGGGAAACTACCTTGATTGGGAAAATTATTCCGCTCCCCACAACAGGAAATATGAAAGTACCTGGAAACAGTACATTTTCCTGAGGATATTGATGGATGTGTAAGAACTATATTTTTGCAAAATGTACGGAAGTAAAAAGTACATTAGTGCCACTACACAGTTAGAATTTTACTTTTGGCAGCAGTTTAGCTTTAAAGTGTTAATAAACCCAAGACCCTACATTCTTCTATCTGGTCTCCCACAGTACACAGAACATGGAAATGCACTTATTTTAGTAAATATAAACTGCTAAATTCCTTTTCTCAGCAGCAGTTAGAGCAGTCTTGTGACTTCGATCAGTGTCCAGCAGAGCACATGTTAAAGCTTGTAGGAAGAGTTTTTTCTTTCTGCTCTAGTAGGATGTAGAACCCCTGTCTGGACAGTGCTGATTGTCCCTGTGCTGATCACATGCACTCTCCCAAGGAAAAAAAGAAAAACTCATTTCTAGTAATACACACAAAACTGATCATGTGCAAAGTGTTTCCACACTGTCTTATCAGGAGATAAGAGGGGGGACACTGGAAGAAGGGGAGGATCATAGAAGTCAGGATCAAACAGCCTTTTTATACAATGAAGACAATTAACCCTGTAGGTTCCATTGAGTATAACAAGCATGCTTTACTGCATATACAGACTGATTTTACTGTTGTTGGTTTATTAACACTTTGACTCAAAATGCAAACTTCTATAAACATAAATTGCATTTCCTAACCTAATCAGTGCATAATGATTGCAGCATTTATTGTTCTTCCGACACTGTATCAGGTGGGTGCATACAAAAGTAGTTTTTGGATATGTGGGCATGGATTCATGTCTCTATAAAATCATATATAAAATTCATATTAATCTTATGATACAGAGGAACGGATTCCTAGACCATGGATTATAAGCCGCTACCTTCTGGCTAGACACTGGCAAAAGCTTTGCTAGGACCACCCCCTCACCTCTGTGTATCCATATAATCCGACCCACGCTGTGAGATTGCAGTTTTTATGGGAGTGTTCTTAGACAATGGATCACTTCTACTTGAGAAGTTTTTTTTTTTCCCCCCCTATTTTTCACAAATTTTTTTTTCTTTTTCATCTGACACATATATCAAGATCGGACTGCTTATTGCCTTATAGCTCACTAGCAGTTTCCAAATTGCTTACCCTCTATGTACAGTTGCAAGAAAAAGTATGTGAATCCCTTGAGATTACGTGGAGTTTTGCATGAATTGGGCATGAAATGTGCTCTGAACGTCATCTAAGTCACAACAATAGAAGAACACAGTCTGCTGAACATAATGCTACACAAACATGAGATGTTGCCATGGTTTAATTGCACATAACATGTAAACATTCACAGTGCAGGGAGGAAAAAGTATGTAAACCTTTGGACTTAATAACTGGTTGACCCTCCTGACCCGCGGTTGCCTCTCCATAAGAACTTTCTTGGGTTATGCTGGTGGGCTATTTCAAGACAGCTAGTGCCTATTTTTTTGTACACTAAGTCAGACTCCTTTTTGTCTGTCTGGTCCCATGTTTTGTCTGCACAACACGCATCTTTCTCACTCACAACCCTCAGGCTCTGACCTGATCTCTGATATGCCCTTCCCTGACCATATCTGTGTTGCGATTTACCAAGTCACTCTGTTCCCAGGTTGCAGTTTACCAAGTCACCCTCGCCTTCTCAAAGCTTGGCCTCTACTATTGGTCAACTCCATTTGCCAGTTTAGTACTGGAAAGTTGTTGCATTGCCCTTGTTCTCAGTGCTTTCCCTCACACTCCTGTGGGCTGAAGAAAACTGGTGCTTAGAACAACTCAGTCTCAGCATGGTGCTGCTGTGGAGCGAGAGCAGGCTGCCCTTCTTGTCTCCCCTTATGTGACATATCACATGACCAGAGATTGGAATAAGAGGCTACCTTCATTCTCGGCAGGTGCCGCCCTGAGGTGTGAACTGTGAGTACACACAGGAAGGAGGTGGAACAACTCAGTCCTAGGTAGGCATTGTATAGTATATTCAGTCATTATTAAGAACGGCAAGTACTGTTTAAGCAAAGTATGAAAAGTTACTAAAACATGAAATGTCTGTTATTTTAATATGCTACTGCATGTTTTTGTTCCCCTCAAATTCCTTCCTGATTTGCCCAAAACAGTTGAGTGGAAGGAGTTTTGGTGATCCTATTAGCTGTGGACTGGCCCAGGTAGGTGTGGTACTCCAACCTGATCACACTCCTGCAAGATGCTTAATGGGCTCTTCAGGTCATCCAGATCTTTTCCAAGGACTGGTTTATCATCTTGGTTCAAGTCTCTGGCTTTGACAGAAGGAACAGGATCCTCTCCGAATCTGTGATTCCCATGATGCTGAAAGTAAAGCATAGTGCAAGGAAAGAAAATTTCATCACTTTCCAGAAATTCACCCTGGGACAAATCCTGGCCTCTGCACTTTGACTTGGATCAGCATTTGGTGTCTCGTACAATCAAGGGGCAGATATTAGCACAAGGTGTCTCTCGTTAGCTCTCTGTTCGCTCCTCTGTGACTCCATATAGGATGTAAATTTCGATCTCAGGGATATTTCTGTTCTAATTCACAAAGTTGCATTTCTTGATGCCGTCACCTCTGCAAATTGTATGTCTGAGATAGCGGCTTTGTCCTGTAAAGAACCCTTCTTAATCAGGAACAAAATGGTGTTTAGGTCTAGAGCCTCTTTTCTTCTTCTTTTGGCCGTTCACCTCAGCCAGGACACTAATCTTCTTTCCTGCTCCAGTGCACCAGAAGATGATCTCCCTCTATTGTCTGGATGTTATTTGAACTGTACTTGGTCTTTCTAATGGAAAAACTAGCTGCAAGATTGTTTTTTTTTTTATCCTAGCTTCTCTTCCAACCATTTTTTGATGTCTCAGAAAGGTCTTCATTCAAGCTTATGAATTTTCTGGCAAGGCATACTGTACTAGATTTATAAGTGCTTCTTGGGCACCAGGCTACTGTTTCCCAAATCTTCAGTACTGCCGCCTTCTGTTCACACAGGTTGATAGTCAGGTCTATTTTGATGTCTGTTTTAGGTGTAAGTTCTTTTTAAGTAACTGTTTGAGCTTTAGGCAGTCCCCAGTTCTGTAGTTTTATTTTTTTTTTAAATGGGAGTCCGTGTTTTGTTATACCCACCAGTTGGACTGATTTTGGACATCTTATTGTTGACTCGATTCCTGTGTACATCAATGAACACTAGGTAAAATGGAATTTTTGTATTTGCCGTAAAATGCATTTCTTGTAGTTCATTAGGGGACAGGAGTCCCCCACTCCTCTGTGTCTAGGATTATACTCATGGTACTGCTGTTCTACAAAACTGAGATACATTGGAAATAGGAAGGTTTATACTAAGCTCCTCACTGTAGTTACTGGCCAATGTCAAAATTCTCATGTGTGTGAAAGTATAACCCAACAGTCACTGAATTCCTGTGTCCCACAATGAACTACATAAAATGAAGTTTACAGTAAAAACTAAATTTTATTTTATCCCAATGTCCAAGTAGCTCCTCTGTAGTATTAAAATCATACTTTAGTTTGTCTGAAAGTACAACTATTGCTTCCCTTCCTGGTGTGTGGTTCTTATACATGAAAGCGAGTTTCATTTGTCCCTCCCCCTTCCCCTCTTGTGCATTCACAGAGTGTATTGTGTTCTGTGGATTGTTTACAATATATAAGGCATTCTATGAATAGAGGGAAGCACCTATCGCTTCTATGTATGAGAGCAGCAGCTGATACTTATATTGTTGTACTGTTAAGCATGAATGAAAGTGTGATTTTTAAACTGAGGAGCAGTCTGGAAGTGGGATAAACATTAGAGATAACTTTTTACGTACCATTAGTTACAAAACCTTTGTCTTAAAGTGGAACTTCAGTCTCTCAACCACCATGGCCTATTTTTAATACTTATGCTGCTAGCATTCGTAAATAAATAGCAAAGTATATCATATTTAAATTTTTATTATTTTTTTTTTTCACATTTCTTTAGTTCTTGGTTTCCATGCCTAGGTAAATGATGTCCGCTGTCTTCAGGAAGGGAGAGAGGGTTCTTAGCTCAGCCAATACCTGAGCTAAAGGCAGATGGATACCAAGAAATAAATGCTACATGAATCATCTGCCCTTAATCAAGATGGCAGAAATGCCAGGGGGTGTTTTTCAAAATAATTTTTCTGCAAAATAAAACATGGAGACGTGGATGGATGTGTGTGTTTTTTAATTTTAACAATGAATTAAATAGCATTTTTGGTTTGTGGTGCTCAGATGCAGTGTAGCTCCACTTTAAGTTTCCGTTAGTGGTTCTAAACGCAAAACATTTTTTACCTTAATGCATTCCCCCCCCACCTTTGGTACCATAGGCTCCTGCTGCTGTCAGTCAAACCCCTGTAAGGAGGGAGAGGGCATGGTTTAACAGTGCTTTTTCTCTATGGACACCCACAGCCTGGCTCAATAGTGTGCATACACAGGTTCCCCCATAGCAGGCTTGCTAAGGAGGAACCTGGAACAGGGAGAAGCAGACAGCGCCAGCAGAGGGAGATGGGGCAATGAACCGTTCTATGCAATATCATTGCACAGAGCAGGTAAGTATAATTTCTTTTTATTTAAGGCAAAAAATCCTTTAAAATCACTTTAAATTCCACAATTTTTGCCAGGCATTCATATACAATATATCTAATTTTTTTTTTTTTTTTTTTGTCTATTAACACTGCTGTGATAGGTTGAAGACGTCATGCAAAAAGGCCAAGAAAAAGAGGAGGAGGAGGATCCCAATTCTAAGCCAGATATAAAAGAGGAAGATAATGCCATTGAGATGTCTGAGGACTTTGATGGGAAAGTGCATGAGGGGGACAAAAGCAGAAGGTTAGAAACTTGAAGTTTGCTGAGAAGAAACATTTTTTATTTAGGTAGCCTTGTGATATCTCTCACTCTTGACATAATAAATATTAATATACATACATATATACACAGCGGCTAAAATAAGTATTGAACACCTCACCATTTTTCTCGGTAAATATATAGAAATTTTCATCACATCAGTAACCATCCATTCAATCTATACATACAAAGAAACCAAAACAAATAAGTTCAGAAATTAAGTTGTGTAATAAAATGGAATGACATGGGGAAAAAGTATTGAACACAAAAATAAAAGGAGGTGCAAAAAGGCATGGAAAAGCCAAGACACCAACTTATATCGATAAGCAATTATAAAGCAATCCTGCCCCTTGTCAGTGAAAATAATATCAGCTGGTTCAGTCTCAACTGATGGCCTACATATAGGTGTTTCATTACCAAGGTGTGTTGCACAAGAAACATCTCATGGGTAAAAAACAAACATTGTAACATTGGTTACAGAAGGATTTCTAAACTTCTGAAGGTTCCAGTGGTACTGGCAAACTTCACAACCTTGAAGGAAGAAAGAATGGAAAAATGTACCAAGACATTTTTAATAAAAAATCTGCCATCGATCAGGATGCTGAAGATGAAACGAGGGTGGAAATTTCAGAAAGACGACGATCCCAAACGCAAATCCATGGAAACTCCCAATTGGTTTCAAAGAAAATAAAGCTGCTAGAATGGCCCAGCCAATCACCTGACTTGAATCCAATAGAAACTCTATGGAAAGAACTAGAGATCAGAGTTCATAGAAGAGGCCCACGGAACCTTCCAGATTAGAAGACTGTGTGTGGAAGAATGGGCCAAAATCACACCTGAGCAATGCATGCGACTAGTTTCTCCATACAGGAGGCGTCTTGAAACTGTCATTTACCAACAAAAGAGTTTGTACGAAGTATTAAATAAATTTCAGTTAGTGCGTTCTATACTTTTTCTGTCATTCCATTTTAATATACACAACTTAATTTCTGATTTTTTTTTTTTTTTTTGTTTCTTTGCATGTATGGATTGCATGGGCGGTTACCGACGTGGTGAAAATTCAATGGCGCCTTTAGAAATACATTCACCAGCCACTTTATTCGGTACACCTTGCTAGTGCCAAGAAAATATCCCCCTCACCATTACACCACCAACCTGAATCGATGATACAAGGCAGGATGGATCCATGCTTTCATGTTTGCACCAAATTCTAACCCTACCATCTGGGTGTCTGCCCATTTTACTCTGACATCCACAAGCCATTTTTTCATCCACACAACTGCTGCTCACTGGATCCTTTCTCTTTTTCAGACCATTCTTTGTAAACCCTAGAAATGGTTGTGCATGAAAATCCCTTTAGATGAGCAGTTTTTGAAATACTCAAACCAGCCCGTCTGGTATCAACAACCATGCCATGTTCAAAGTCACTTAAAGCCCCTTTCTTCCCACCACAAAATCCAAGCTCAAAAATACTTTACACATAAAATATGGCTTTTGCTCAACATCTCAAACCCAAAAAAGGAATATCATTTGTGATTGAATATTGACAGAGATCATTGACAGCAATAGCAAACCTTTATTGATTAAAGTAACACACAAACACAATAACATTAACCTAATATAAAAGAAAGTTATGGGTCAGATATGGCGACCATGGATCCAATGAATCAAATGTTTACCATATAATATCCATATAATTCATTGATAATTACATTTTGTAACTATATAATTTTTGATTGGACTGAGAGCTCTCAGAGAGGAGGGACAGACATAGAGATTAAGGAAAACAGAAAAAAAGGAGTGGCCACTAAAAAATGCAGCTGTTATATTGATATATTCCTCTGTCCCTTGCTCGTTTTGTGTGAAGATATGATGGATAAGCCATAAGGATCCAAACTGTAATGGAGGTCAAGAAATAGACTGGTGGACATAGAAATGACCAAGTAGTGATTTCACATTGAACCATCCTTAACCACTTGGCCCTCCTGAGGATTTACCCCCCTTCCTGACCAGGCCATTTTTTGTGTTATTGCACTGTCATTTTAACTGACAATTGTGTGGTCATGCAACACTGCACCCAAATGCAGTTTAAAACCTTTTTTTTTTTTTCCCCCCACAAATTGAGCTTTCTTTCGCTGGTATTTGATCACCTTTGCAGTTTTATTTTTTGTGCAATAAAAAAAAAAAAACCTGACAATTTTGAGGAAAAAAAACATTTTTGACTTTTGCGATTAAAAATGTCCAGTAAAAAAAAATCAAAAATCAAATTTTAACATAAATTTAGGCCAAAATGTATTCTGCTACATGTCTTTGCTAAAAAAAAAATTAAAATCCTAATATGTGTAAATAATTTGGTTTACGTGAACGTTATAGCATTTACAAATGGCAGTATAGTAGATACTGGAATTTTTTTTTTTTTCCTTACTAGTAATGGCGGTGATCAGTGACTTATAGCGGGACTGCGACGGACATTCTGACACGGGGGGGGGGGGGGGAAACTAACTGCCACTGATATACCCAGTGACACCAATACAGTAATCAGTGCTAGAAAAAAAAAAAAAAAAAAAGCACTGACACTGTACTAATAGCACTGGGCATGAAGGGGTTAACATGAGGGGCGCTCAAAGGGTTAACCGTTTGCAGGGAGTGTTTACTGGGGGACGGTGTTTGTGTGCTTCATTGTAATCACACTGCTCTGGATGGCTGTGAAAATCCACTTTCATATAGAAAAAAATAATAAATATGCTTCAGTGACACATTGTAACGTCATAATAGGACGTAATCTTCACTATCTATACGCCTCAGCAGCGCTCACTTTATATGCATTTAGTTTTATCAATACTATTATTGTGTATCCTATGTCATTTTTCTAGCGCTGCATATTTATTATTTTTGTCTATTGGAGGTGCAGATGTTTGCCTCTATATGCTAGCTGCTTGTACATTCAACCTGCACTTGCAAATACTTTCTATATATTGTGTATTTCTCCACACTTTCATATCTGTATAGACAAATACCTCCCTCATACATAAAGCCGCTTGGAGCTGGTATGCGTCCATGCAAGTAAGCATCAATAATGCAGGTGCAGAAAACAGGCACACATCTCATGGATGGTGCAATGAAAATAGCCACATTTCATTCCATGAATGCAGAGTATAGGCCCTTTTGTCAAGGTGTGAGAGAAAAGTATACTTAGCCGGCCATGGTACATAGACACATCATAGATTCAGGTGCAACCAAAGACCCAGCCTGACCGGTTTCACCGGACCCCCCTTGTGTTTAGGTGTTATTTTATTCAATAAAAGTTTATTATTGCTGTCAATGACCTCTGTCAATATTCAGTCACAAATGAGATTCCTTTTTTCGGATACTTTGGGTTTGAGATGTTGGGCAAAAGCCATCTTTATGTATGTATATATTATCTTTTATGTATATATAGAGAGTATTTTTGAGCTTAATTGATGTAAAACATACGTTCAGTTGGATCTGATGACGACACCCTAGTAATCATAGTGCAATTCTGAATTTGTTTAACCACTAGTAGACCGGCCCAAAGGTACAGCCATATAGCAAAGTTCACAAAGGCATACATTCATCTGTTCATATGGCTGTAGTTGGCTAAATCCTCACTGGTCTATGGGCATGTTTAATGCATATGGTCCTTGTCAGAGGAGAAGGCACTTTTATTGGGCTGTCCAATCACTGAAACAGGAGTGGCTAGTAATGCTTCACTCTCAATTTGAAATGGAAGATAGATTTGATAACTTGCATCATTACGAAGGGTTATCATGCACGTTCGTCTGACCATAAAATGCATAATAATGTTTGTACAATCAACATTAGAGTTGCCAAAACTATTTAATATGAGGATTTACCTGATCTATCCAATCAATTTGTATCAAGTCTGGCAGGCCCTTGCTCTACAGTTGCTGGTATATTGCTGGAGATTGTATATTCGGATTGTGTGAAGTGATGTGAGTTGAAAGTGGTTGTAAACCCTTCAATATACCCAATGTAGTGACTCGGGTGACACAGAGAGATTAAATAAATACTCCTACATAAGTTGTGCCTGTTTATCTGCACCCATCTCTTCCCATTTGTTTAAAGGATAAGTTCACCTTTTAAAAAGAATAATGAATGCACATCTTTTTGCAGGTAAGAAAAAGTGCATTTTTCTTTTTTGGGAGCCGGTAAAGCATTGCAGCCATGATCACCTGAATGTGGGTTAACATGTTATGAAAGGTGAACTTATCCATTAAAGTCCAGAATTTGCACAGCTTTTCAGAGGGTCCAGTGGCAGGGGATTTGATGGTGTCACACTGCAGAGCTCAGAGAGGAGAACTGAGTGTAACCCTAGTGGAGGGAAGGGGCACACCCTCCTCTACACAATTCCATATGGAAACATGCGCAGCTAAGGCTTTTAATCACAGGCTTTGTGCTGGTGTCCCCCCCTTCCCCCTCCCCCTCGATCCCTTGTAATTAGGACAGCCTGTGAGAAATGACTTGTGCAGATAGTAAAGGAACAGGACAGTAGACTGAAATCGCACTCCGTGCTTTTGATTGAGGCAAGTGCACACTAAGGAAGGATATGTTTTTTGTTCACTTTTCATGTTTGAGGTTTACAACTACTTTTAACTATTCTGTTGTAATTGTGCCACAGAGGAGGATGAACAGTCTGACAATGAGGAAGACCTGGATAAACAGATGGGAGATCTTGGTGATGCTGAAGCAGACAAGCTTGATAAAAGACTCTGGGGAGATGATGATGATGATGAAGAGGAAAACGATGATGAGAATAAAGCAGAAGAGCAAGGACATGGAATGGACACGGTAAACATATACCTAGGATAGAAATATAGTTATATGTGATGCACATGCCTTGAACTTATGTTCTTCCATACATTTGGAAATATGTATCATTTAAAAAATGGACCGCGCTAAGGTCACAAATTGACTAAATAAACTACCAGCAACCACAATTATAAGGGCGAAGGAATATCAGCCATCAGGACTGGATTGCAAACTGGGATAGTCCCAAAAAGCGAGTGTGACTTACCTAGAGATAGGTGGTCATGAAATGACGGTGAGTTTATAGCTATGTGGGGCACCAGTGTGAACAAAGTGAAGCACTTATCATTTCAGTATGGAGTATCTCCGTTGGATACAGCACTGTTGCACCAATTATTCACATGTTGGGACTGAATATTAATATTGTATTTGTATTTTGCTCATTGTTATCACTTTAAAGATTGCACAGTTTTAGTCAATTTGTGACCTTAGAGCGGTCCATTTTTGAAATATTTAACATTTTGTGTTTATATAAGATGCCTATATAGCAGCAACCCTAAGTGTGAATTTCTATAGTCAATTCTTTCAGATATGTCATTTTTTTTTTTTTCTAAGCGCAACAGCACTCTTTTCCTTTCAAACATACAGTTGTGTTCAAAATAATAGCAGTCAGACATCACTAACCTGATCAATCACTGTTTTTGGTAGAAATGATATTTTTACACGGCAAATAATTTACTAGCAGGTGTAGTAGAGTAATAGAAATCCAACAGACCCAACAGTCATGACATGCATGCTGCTGATTCTGTGTAATTGAATCGCTAATTGAAAGGGGCATGTTCAAAATAATAGCAGTGTGGAGTTCTATTAGTGAGGTCATTCATTCTTTGAAAAACAGGTGGCAATTATTGCCCTTATTTAAGGAAGGAAGGCAGCAAATGTACATGCTGGTTACAGTGCATTTCTCTCTGAAATTCTGAGGAAAATGGGTCTTTCCAGACATTGTTCAGAAGAACAGCATACCTTGAATAAAGAGTTGATTGGAGAGGGAAAAAAAAAAACATATAAAGAAGTGCAGAAAATGATAGGCTGCTCAGCTAAAATGATCACAAATGCTTTAAAATGGCAACCAAAACCTGAAAGACGTGGAAGAAAGCAAAAAACGACCATTCAAATGGATAGAAGAATAGCCAAAATGGCAAGGACTCAGCCAACAATCAGCTCCAGGAAGATCAAAGAAGGTCTAAGGTTACCTGTGAGTACTGTTACAATTAGCTTGGCTTCACATAGGCGTCTTCTATCTGCAAGAAGCCCCGCAAAGTCCCACTGTTGAAAAAAAAAGACGTGTTGAAGAGCTTACAATTTGTCAAAGAGCACATTGACTGGCCTAAAGAGAAATGACACAACATTTTGTGGACTGATGAAAGTAAGATTGTTATTTTTGGGTCTAGTGGCCAGAGACAGTTTGTCAGACGACCCCCAAACACTGAATTCAAGCCACAGTACACTGTGAAGACAGTAAAGCATCATGACATGGGGATGTTTCTCATACTACGGTGTTGGGCCTATTTATCGCATACCAGGGATCATGGATCAGTTTGAATACATCACAATACTTGAAGAGGTCATGCTGCCTTATGCTGAAGAGGAAATGCCCTTGAAATGGGTGTTCCAACAAGACAACGACCCCAAACACATCAGTAAACGTGCAACATCTTGGTTCCAGACCAACAAGATTGACATTATGGAGTGGCCAGCCCAAAGCCCCGGATCTTAATCCAATAGAAAACTTGTGGGGTGACATCAAAAATGCAGTTTCTGAGGCAAAACCAAGAAATAGAGAAGAACTGTGGAATGTAGTCCAATCATCCTGGGCTTGAATACCTGATCACAGGTGCCAGAAGTTGGTTGACTCCATGCAACACAGATGTACAGCAGTTCTCAGAAACAGTGCTTATACAACTAAAAATATTGATTCAAAGGAAAGCAAAATCTTCAAACATTTTTCAGTTTATATAGTGAATGTTTGAGTTTGTAAAGAAAAATACAAACACTGCTATTTTTTTGAACAGTCTAATATTTACCTTTCTTCAATTTTTTTTAAGGAAACAACACAAATGTGATATATTTTTCTTCATGTTTTGATTTGGAATAGAATGTGTAGTGTTCCCAATGCATTTGTGTGTATGGAAATAAAAGCTATTAGAAGGATTTTGAGCTTTTTTTTCAACACACTGCTATTGTTTTGAACACAACTGTATGTATCATCATCGCCTTTTTTTTTTTTTTTAAATCTATTTTTCTAGTGTAATGTGCATGACAGCACTTGGGAAACCAGCTTTGACCTTTCTAAAGATTTTTGAGAAATGGTAATATAGTACAGTGGCTTTGTTTCTTGAAATGTACTATAATAGTCTTATATAAACACGTTTCTAATCCTTTTTCTTTTTTCTTTTTTTTTTTAAGGGAGAGTCTGAGTTGGTTGCTAAGGATGACAACCAAGATGCTGGAAATTCAGATAAAGATAAGAAGAACTTGAAGGATGAAGCTAAAGAGGAGCAGATTGAAGATGGCCGGAAGGATAAAATCCATGAACAAATCGATGAGGTATGTGTATACCTATATAGTGAACAGCTAGATATATATATATATATATATATATATATATATATATATATATATATACACATATATATATATATATATACACATATATATATTCTCAGTGTCACCTCAGCTGAAATATCTGCTACCAGCACCATCCTTTACCAGTAGGGTAGCCAGTGATAATGTAGCTCCCACACATGCACGATGCATTTGCACCATCTTACCACTAGGCTTTACTCTTCTGCAGCTTAACCACTTGCAGTCCTAGCCAATTCTGACATTCCTTTCCTACATGTAGAAAACTTTTTTTTTTTTTTTTTTTTTTTTGCCAGAAAACTATTTAAAACCTCCAAACATTAGTAGGGATGCACCGAAACTTCGGTGGCAGAAACGTTTCAGCTGAAAACACCCCTTTCGGCCATTTTCCGAAATGAATAAAAGCACCAATACCTCGTCGCTGATCAACCTCGCCGCCGCCCGCCCGCTGCTGCCACCACCACCAAAAAATGTTTTAGAGGGACAGTACAAAAAAAAAAAAAAAAAAAACCCCCGTGCACGCACATAGTGGTGAACGCATACGTAGGCCATGCCCACATATGTAAATGGTGTTCAAACCACACACGTGAGGTATCGCCACGAACGTCAGAGCAAGAGTAATACTTCTCACACTAGACATCCTCTGTGACTACACTGCTAACCTATAGAAATTTTTAAAGCATCACCCATGGAGATTTTTTAAGTTCCGCAGTTTCACGACATTCCACAAGCTTGCGCAATTTTAAAGCATGATATGTTGGTTATCTATTTGCTCACCATAACATTCTCTTTTCATATTTTACAAAAAAAATTGGGTATATATTGTCGTTTTTTTTTTTTTTTTTTTTTTTTGCAATATGTATTTTTTCAGCCGAGTGCATTTTGAATTTTTGGTTTCGGCACCAGAATTTTCATTTCTGTGCACCACTAAACATTATAATTATTTTTGTGCAGGGGCCCTAGGAAGTAAAATGGTGGCTTCTGCATATTTTTGTCACAGGACATTTGCACAGTGACTTTTTAAATGCAAATTATTTAAAATGCATACTTTTAATTAATTTTAATGCACAAAAACACAATATAATACCTAATTGTTTGGTAAAATATAAAAGATGATGTTACATTGCCTAAATAGATAATAGATACCAAACATGTCACACTTTGTGTTCAGTGCCTGTATGTTGAATGGTGCCAAACTACAGTACTTAAAAATCTCCATAGGCAATGCTGTAAAAGCATTTACAGATTTCCAGTTTAGATTTACAGAGGAGGTCTAATGCTAACATTTTTTTCCTTGCTCTAACTTTGTAGTGATACCTCATGTGTGGTGCAATCACCGTTTACCTATGTGTGCAGGACCTACGTGCATGTCAGCATGGGGAACAGGGGTGCTTTTACTATTTATATTATTAGGTAAAATGTTTTTTACGCTGTATCTTTTTAGATTTTATTGCTATCAGAAGGGATGAGCATTGGTTATTTATGGAGACATCTGGGGTCTATTAGACCCCAGACCTCTCTTTTGGCCTTCAAAGCATCTGAACAAACCAAGATCAGTTTGATCAGATGCTTGTTCAAGGCAGAATCAGCTTGTTTTTGTGAGACTGAAACATGAAGTGAGGAAATCCGTGTCACTTCTGGTTTCTGACAACACAGTGGGAGGAACAGCATCAGTTCCTCTCACTGTGTCCCAAGAACTGGATGCTGCCAGTCGCATCCGTACCAGGCTCCCCGATCACACTGGAGGGATAGTAAAGGCAGATGTAGGAGTGGGTAAAAGTAATCCAGCGGCTTTTTAGCTGCTAGGAGTGTCACGACCCGCGGCCGCCGCCACCAACAGGCGACAATCGCACAGCCGCGACTAACAGTAATACGTCCCGCCCACGGCGTCAGACCTTCTCACCAAACTCGTGACCGAAGGGCCGGCCGATCCAAAACCGCAGTGTGACGCGCGTAACAAGGCCCCACCCAGCTGCACCCTACACAGCGATTGCCCAGCTAATGGACTACAATCGGTGCCTGCAGCCTGAATGCGCTTGTTACTGGGTCGGGTTAGTTACGCAACTAACCCTCTACTGCCCACCACCACTTTGTCGGAGACTGGGAAACTCCCGTTATCAAATATACACTATAATGATTGAAATATTGATCTATATAGCACGGCCCGCAGACCTGTTATACAGAGATATATAACAAACAGTAGCGTCTCTTCAAAGGCAGGGATTCGTGAATTGCAAGTAAGCGCTTAGAAACAGTTTAACACTTTCAGAAAGAAAGATTTATTGCTAAAAGCGTCAGATGCAAATAAATATATACAAAGATGTCACAAAAATATATATATATATATGTATATAAAGACACAGCAAACATAGAATAGCGAGGAAATTACAGGGTAAGTTACTTGCCTGCCTGGTTTTAGCAAATTCAAGATGCAGAGCAGAAAGGTTCTTTGATCTCCTCTGTTACGGTGTTACCTCGGAGATCTCTGTGTGTGTGTGTGTGTGTGTCACAGACTAACTCACTTAACTCTCTTAAAGGTCCCTCTCAAAAGGGGGAGGGGGGGGGCTCTGACTTGGGAGTGGTCATTGGGAAACTCTACACTAAATTACCAGCTTCATATCCAGTGATATGAACCATACAGTTGACCTGAAGAATGTTCAGTTCTGGGTCAGGTTGATAAGGTGTGGGGCTTACATAGCTTTGGGTGACCAAAGTGACACCTCCGGAGACGGGCTGGCTCCACTTCTCATGTGTTAGCCTCCTTGTTCCACATCATCTGCCAGGAGATAAAGTCTGCCTCACAGTAATGCAAGGGGGGATGTGAGGAATGATTCGAGGAAGACCTCAAATACAACAAGGTAAAGGAGAACTCTGCTTCCAGCTTGATGAGCTAGTTTGCTACACCTCCCCCCCTTAAGTGGGAGCTAAGGAGGGATCTACAAGTTTCTCTCCTGACGCACCCGACCTCTGTCCAGAGGTTCCTCTTGGGACGTCCTGGTACCGCTGTACTGCGGGAGAACCGACTTCCGTCTGAACAGGAAGCCGTTCTCTCCAGCAGCACTGCTGGGCCGACCAAGTGAGTGGTCACAGGTGGGTACCAGTCGGCTGTGGCTATCCGAATCCCGTGGCAACTGCCGGGGTGCCCACCTGTTCACAAAACACTTCGGCTCAGAGGTGTCCTTTGCTAACGTATTAATATGTAGCTTCTTGTCGAGGTAGAGAAGAAGATTTCCCTCTCCTACCTTCTTCCTCAGGCTTAGGACTACATCTGGCCTGAAGGTAGTAGCGTCCGTGTGCACCGGAACCGGATAGGCGAATTCTGGGCCTCGCCTCCCAGTGGTGTCCACAGGTACCTTCATCCAAGATGGACAGTCCTCGTTGCCTGCTAGCATCCAGGACACCAGTTCCTCCAGTTTCCTGTCTGCTAGGCCAGTCACAGGCCCAGCTGAGCCATGATCATCGCATCCAGGCGTCTTACCATAGCCAGCTGTACCCGCGACTGATATAACCTGCTTTTTGGCCCGGGGCGGACCAGGCCTCAACTGCCTCAGTCTCCCCACGCCCAGACCTCTGGGGGTCTCTTTTTACTGATGGGTTCTTAAACTGAACCGCTGACATGCCCCTCTGACAGTTACCCTTCTTGGCTGTCGGACTGGGCACAGGCGGTTTGTTCCAGCCTAGTGACAGGGGCCCAAGTGGCTCTTCCCAGACAGGGCCGAGCACCGTGAGGCCCCTATAGTGGACAACTGCACCCAGGTCCACTGCGCATTGCGGGCCACTCCTGACCGCGGGAGTGGTGGTCGGTGCCTTCTCAACCCCAACTAGCTTTCCCGTGGATTCAGGCAAGCCACATGGGGTAGTGAAGGCTGCCTCGTCTGGAGCTTGCTGGGTTAGAGATGGTGGTCCATGCTCCTTGCTCAAGTCCATGATGGCAAAACGGGCACCTTTCGGATGCTCCATTGCCTCATGGCTCCTGGGCATGGGGTAGGCCACAAACCCAGGGCTGGTGTTCAGTTTCCCAAGGTTCTCAGAAAGCCTGGTCATCGTATCCTGCTGGAGGACCGCGACCACTAGGACTGCCCAGACTCTAGCTGATCCCTGGATTCCTGACTGTGCCATTCCCTTTGCCTCTGTGGCCCAATCAGCCGGCACCTTCTGAATCCAGACACCATCTACCAGAGGCCTGGGCAGCCGCTCCGGACCCCGAGTGCTAGGGAAGGGTGATTGGGTCTGGGCCCGGAGGCCCTCTCTCTGTAACCCCAGCATCAACCTTCCTTCCACTCGTAATCCAGGCCTGCTGCCTCTGACCTCTGTCTGTCTGCCTGTGAACACACCTTGACAAGTGAGATTAACTGACAGGCTTTCAGGCTCCCAGCCCCCCGCTGACTAGGCCAGTCATTCTAGCCTCCTTGCTCGTTTGTTTACTCTCCCCAGCAGGGGGCTCAGCTCAGGACACAAGCCGAAATCTCCATATGAATGACTTTCCAGAGCTGCCTTCCCTGTGGGACTACAAATCTCAGTTAGCTTACCTCTGAAGGTCCTTTGAGACTCACTTTTCAGGGCTGCCTGAAATGTGGAACTACAAGTACCAGCCAGCTTACCTCTGAAGGTCCTTTGGGACTCACACTTTTCAGGGCTGCCTGAAGTGGGAAACTGCAAGTCCCAGCCAGCTTACCTCTGAAGGTCCTTTGGGACTCACTTTTCAGGGCTGCCTGAAGTGGGGAGCTACAAGTCCCAGCCAGCTGTGGTGTGCCTTCCTTAGCAGGGCAACTCACAGTTAGCGGGCCTCTGAAGCTCTTTTGGGAATCGCTTTTCAGTGCTGCCTGAGGCATGGAACTACAAGTCTCAGCCAGCTGCCTAGTCCTATGCAAGGCCAACGGCTGGGCACTTATCAAGGCACAATCTTCTGAGCCTGGGCAAGGGACAGGCCTATCCAAGTCATCCCCTTGCTCAGCCCCCAGAGACTGTACCTCAGCCCCCAACACTGAAAATGCATCCTTTGTTTCATCACAAATCTCATACTCATTGTTAGCATTACCAACATTGCCGTCAACAATACAAACATTATCAATGACATTACCATCAATGCTACTGATATGATCCATGACATTCCTATCAATGCTACTGATATTATTACTGACATTCCAGACTGTATTCCCAATGTTACTAACATTAGTAAGATCACCCTCAGTGTCACCACAACGATCCTCAACAGTCATGTTCATAATATCAGTGACACATGAGTTCAATACCTCCCCAAGCAAGGGGATTTCTTCTTGTTCTCCAGCTAATGGAGACTCCTGTAGCCCCACACCATTCCCAGCCCCCTCCCTCTGTCCATCCACCGGTGGCCCAGACATTACCCCAATATCTGTCCACAGTACCTTGGCTTGTCCAGAGAGTTCTAGGGGGCCCTTCCGGGTCTTCTCGGCAGGGGCATAATACGACACAAGAGTGCCTAGGTCAGCACCCAACAAAACGGGTGGGCAGTTCATCTGAGACCCCCACCCCTCTCATCCCCCTCCCCACACCCCAATCTAGGAATACCTTTGCACAGGGTATGCATGAACGGGTCCCCCCAACTCCTGTGAGGGTCAGGAACTTTCCTGGGATGAGGTTCTGTGGCTCAATCAGCTCTGGTCGGATCAAAGTGACGTCTGCCCCGGTGTCCCGGAAACCAGTTGCAGACCGGTTGCCCACGGTAACGGGCTGCAAGTTGTCGGGGTTTACCCGCATCTTCCTGCGAACGAACAGCACAGAAGAAGAGTTGCTGGCCAGATGACGTCATCTGCTTCTGCTCAGGACACTGTGTCCTGAGATGTCCGGCTTTCCCACAGGCGAAACATTTTGTGGGTGTCAGGCAGGAATGGCTTGGCTCCAAGCGCTGCAGGTGTGGGCGGAGGGGAAGCTTGACTCACCGAAGTAGGAGAGGTTGCTAGGGACGATTTCCCCCCTTTCCAGCTGTTTGGAGGAGCCTTGCGAGGTTCAGGCACTCGCGTGTGTGGACGAAGGTATCGGCCAGATCTGCTGCAGCTGTAGTAGATGCTGGCTCCCTCTCCAAGACTAACTGTCTGACGTCTGCTGGACGAATGTGCAGGAGTTGATCTCTGATCATGAGATCCTCCAAAGATTCATAAGAATCAACTTTCAGTCCCTTAGTCCACTGTCGGAATGTGGTACGTAAGCGACTTGCCACATCCGTGTAAGAGTCCCCAGGTCCCTTCTGCATGGACCTGAACCGTTTGCTGTACACTTCCGGGGTCATCTGGTACCTCCGGATAATGGCATCTTTTAAAAGTTCATAGTTATCATCTTGCCTCTCTGGCAATTCAACAAATGCGTCCAGGGCCTTGCCTCGTAGCCCTGGTGTCAGGTACCGAACCCATTGAGCTTGGGGCACATGGTACTGACGGCACGCTTTTTCAAAGGACAGTAAGTATGTGTCAATGTCACTGTCCTTTTCCATCACTGGAAACTTGGCTGCGCCCACGGAAAGAGTGCCGTCCCTGTGATCTAGGGCCCCGAGGTTTTGACCCGGTTGCTGCTGGAGCCTTGCCATCTCCAACTCATGCCGACGATCAGCTTCCCTCTGCACTGCCTCCCTCTCAGCTTGGCGTTCCGCAGCTTCTCTGTCAGCCGCTGCTTGGCGTTCCGCAGTTTCTCTGTTAGCCTGGCGTTCCGCAGTTTTTCTGTCGGCTGCTGCTTGGCGTTCAAGGAACTGCAAGTATGCCATAGGATCCATATCCATAACACTTTTCAGGGCTTCCTGCATCTGAGAAGAGTCCCTGCTGGTTCCAGGCACCATGGTGTTAGCGCACTCAGGTGGTGGTGTGATGTTAACCTTTGGTGATCCTCCAGTGTCAGTCTCTGTATGCCCATCCTGTGAGGCCGTCTCTGAGCACTGGCAATGTGGGTAACGGGAACCCCTCCATGTTCAAGTTCCCCCGAGTTCTGATTTGCTCGGATATCATACTCCACTAGATCACTAATCAAATCTTCACGAGTTTTGCGACCGACGTCCAATCCTCGTGAGGCACATTCAACTTTCAAATCACCTTTGCTCATTTTCTCGTAATCTGCTTCACCAGGCATAATTGCAAGCAAAGATAAGATAGAAAAGTAGGAAAAGAAAATAGCTGTTGCTATGTGTCTCTCTATACACACATATATATATAAAATAAAATATGCACCACTTGTTTCTAAGGACTGTTTCCACAAAGGTTACAATCCTTCAGTGCAGAGCCAACTTTTAACACTGCACTGAAGCTCTTAATGCAATTATCCCACGTACGCCGCCAACAATATGTCACGACCCGCGGCCGCCGCCACCAACAGGCGACAATCACACAGCCGCGACTAACAGTAATACGTCCCGCCCACGGCGTCAGGCCTTCTCACCAAACTCGTGACCGAAGGGCCGGCCGATCCAAAACCGCGGTGTGACGCGCGTAACAAGGCCCCACCCAGCTGCACCCTACACAGCGATTGCCCAGCTAATGGACTACAATCGGTGCCTGCAGCCTGAATGCGCTTGTTACTGGGTCGGGTTAGTTACGCAACTAACACTCTACTGCCACCACCACTTTTGTCGGAGACTTGGAAACTCCCGTTATCAAATATACACTATAATGATTGAAATATTGATCTATATAGCACGGCCCGCAGACCTGTTATACAGAGATATATAACAAACAGTAGCGTCTCTTCAAAGGCAGGGATTCGTGAATTGCAAGTAAGCGCTTAGAAACAGTTTAACACTTTCAGAAAGAAAGATTTATTGCTAAAAGCGTCGGATGCAAATAAATATTTACAAAGATGTCACAAAAATATATATATATATATATGTATATAAAGACACAGCAAACATAGAATAGCGAGGAAATTACAGGGTAAGTTACTTGCCTTGCCTGGTTTTAGCAAATTCAAGATGCAGAGCAGAAAGGTTCTTTGATCTCCTCTGTTACGATGTTACCTCGGAGATCTCTGTGTGTGTGTGTGTGTGTGTGTGTGTGTGTGTGTGTGTGTGTGTGTGTGTGTCACAGACTAACTCACTTAACTCTCTTAAAGGTCCCACTCAAAAGGGGAAGGGGGGGGGCTCTGACTTGGGAGTGGTCATTGGGAAACTCTACACTAAATTACCAGCTTCATATCCAGTGATATGAACCATACAGTTGACCTGAAGAATGTTCAGTTCTGGGTCAGGTTGATAAGGTGTGGGGCTTACATAGCTTTGGGTGACCAAAGTGACACCTCCGGAGACAGGCTGGCTCCACTTCTCATGTCTTAGCCTCCTTGTTCCACATCATCTGCAAGGAGATAAAGTCTGCCTTACAGGAATGCAAGGGGGGGATGTGAGGAATGATTCGAGGAAGACCTCAAATACAACAAGGTAAAGGAGAACTCTGCTTCCAGCTGGATGAGCTAGTTTGCTACAAGGATTACTTCTACTTTGAAGGTAATCACTGGCCCTAAAAAATTATATCTCAGTCATTGCTGCCCTCATGACCAAGATATCACTCTTTTAATCCAGTGACGTACCTGTACGTCACTGGATTAGAAGCAGTTAGCAGTGTAGGGAGTGTATGCTGCAATGCACATGCATAGCAAACTAAATTTAAAAAAGAAACTTAATATTATAATAAATTATTTAAAGCATAGAGGTTTTTTGGCAGAAAATCACCTCTTCTATCTGTGTCTAACGGCAGTCTTCTCTGACTTAAATTTAAGCTTAAAGTGATTGTAAACCCTCAGATGTACCCAGTGAAGTGACCAACATTAGGTGATAGAGATTAAACAAATCCTTCTGTATAAGTTGTAACTGTATTTGCAGCAATTTCTTTCATACATCGTTCTGAAAACTCAAAGGATTTCTTGATTTGTAATTACTTAAAAATGTTTTGTGTTTTGGACAATTGGTATGTTTTTTTTTTTTTTTGTCCTCTTTATGTTAGCGAGAATATGATGATAATGAGATGGATCCGTTTCATGGTAAGCAAGATACTCAGCAAGAACCAGAATCTCTGGACCTTCCCGATGACCTGAATTTGGAAAATGATGAGGGTAAAGTCAGTGGCGATGAAAAGGATGAGAACGGAGAAGGTATTCACAATTTAACTGCAATAGAAAGTTCTTATTTTTAATCAAACTAGTAGAAATTGCAACTTCAAGACACATTCCAGTTTAGATTAAAACCCTTCATATTCCAGGGGCTCTCTAATAGGTCCCATAGGTCACTCTCTGCGCGTTCGTATTGCATGTGCATTTGTTTTCTTAAAAACAATGCTATTCATATGCATGACTTTTTCTGTGAATGTCTTGATTTTAAAATAATGTTAAATCTTTGGTTTCACTAGTTTATCTAGTGTAGAAAATAAGGGGTCCACTCCTAGCTAAAGTCGAAAAGTGATCTTCCAAGCTGTTCTGATGGAGTAACGATGCTGGTTTCCTTGACAATATATAGAAGGAAGTGAAGGGACCATTCATATTTTAAGTATGAACTATATTAAAAAATTAAAATGTATTATTTAGACCCTGTTACCATAGCATGCCAATTAGGTATTGAGCTATATTCATTGAATTACACATTGTAGTCTTGGTTACCTCATGTGTATTGTTGACATGATCTGCCAGCTGATGGTTGTAGTTCCCCATGTATCACACTTTAATTTCCTTTGAAAAGAACTTGGGGTGTTTGGGTTTTCTTGGCAAAAAAATAGTTTAGTTTTCATGATGTCCTGCAGGACCTTTGGGAACCACCTCAATACCAGTTACACCTTCCATTCCAGACCGTTTTCCTATACTGTGACAGTTTGACCTTTATTTGGTTCCCAATTCCTTGCAGAAACCACTCTTTGAAACCATTAGGGCTATTCCCTTGGAATCTTGCCAGCAAGTAGACTTTCTGTTGGCCATCTGTCAGACTTTGAACTGACTGTCCTTTCCTGTAAAGAGCATTTCCTCATAATTCACAAGGAGGTTGTACTACACCCTAGATCATCCTTACTCTGAAAGTTGATTTCAGCATTCCATCACTGGAGACATTGTAATGCCATCCTTGTGCTCTGCTTCTAAGCATCTATAGGAAGCTTCTCTACATTGGCTGGGCATAGGCAAAACGATTAACCACTTCAATACTGGGCAGTTGCACCCCCTTCCTGCCCAGGCCAATTTTCAGCTTTCAGCGCTTTTGCACTTTGAATGACAATTGCACGATCATGCAACATTGTACCCATTAAAAAAAAAGTATCCTTTCTTTTTTTTAGACAGAGCTTTCTATTGGTGGTATTTTTTTTTTTTTTTTTGCTAAACAAATGAAAAAAGTCTGACATTTTGAAAAATAAAACCTTTTTTCTTCATTTCTGTTGGGAATTAGTGACATCCATCCTAAGAGTAAGCCAGCTCTGTAGTGAATCAGTAATCCCTTTTTTCTTTTGTTGCTGAAGCCTGCTACCAACTTGTGCAAAAGTGACAGTTGGCACTCCCATTAAGGTCTTTGACATTTATAAACATGAGCTAAAAGCTGCCTTAAAGGCTTCAGAAAAGCTGTTTGAAGCCTGTAAAAAGCATCAAACACATTTGCTGTTCATACTGCTCTTATGCAAGCAGAAGCCTAGTCTTGCCTAACCATTGGCAAGGTTGACCTGTAGGTGCTGCAAATACATTTTGGGTCCTAGGGCTTGGGTGACTGGTCCTGGACGCATTGGCAGCTGAATGAAATCTGCACTACTTGTAGAATATTTTCCTTAGTGGATTATTTTTTATATTATGGTGATCATCAGAGGAAACCTTGTATTTGAGAGAACTCAGCCCTGACTTTAGTTCTGGCAGCAGGCAGGAAGTCAACCTGTACCATGGCTGGAACATAGCGAATGCCACTACAGTTCATTGCTGCATACACAGCTGCCACATTAATGTGCAATGGAAATAGTTTGTATGGCCCAAACAAACTATTTAAAAACTTAAATTTTGGAATTCTGCTTTAAATTGAGAGCCTTTTAATGTGTAATCCACTAAAACACTCAAACTATTTTAAAAGAATGCACCGATAGATTGGAAATAAATTGCTCTGCGCTGATTTTATTTAATTGACAATTTCCTCCTTTAATGTTATCTTCCCTCCAAGTCAAATGGAACTTTTTTTTCTTTTTTTTTTGGGGCAAATTTAAGATGGAAATCCTTTTGATATTGATGAAAAGCCAATGGAAATAAATGAAGAAAGTAAGGAACAAGAAGATAGTGAAGGGAATTCTGAAAAAGAGATTCAGGAATCTGAAGAAACAGAGCAAGCAACTGAACAGGACAATAATAAGGAAGAGGAGTTACAAGAGGAGGGTCCACAGGAAACGGAGAAAGAAGTTGAGGAAGCTGAGGAAAAAGGAGAGAAAGTTCCAGATTCTGCAAAGGACACTGAAAATAATGAAAATGAACTACAAACTGAGCAAGGTCTCATGCCTCAGGTAATATAGTTCACATCAATCTTCATAAGTGGTCGTACATAAGGGGACTGTCACATTTTGATAACATTTTTCCTTTGGTCACAATCCTTTCAAAGGCCATCCCAACAGTCATAATCCTTTCCAGACCCATTCCCATATTTACAAATATGTTCATATCTCCTCTCCACTGTTTAGGATCTTTATCTAAAGAAGGTTAATGTATTAGGGTCTGGACCCAGAGTAATGAACTTTTGTAAACCTATTGCCGCTGTAGAAATTATTGTGAATTTTTTTTGGTTGCGGGAGCCTGTAAAGCATTGCACTAGGAATCAGTAGATCGCTGGTGCCATGCAGGGCTCCTGCAGACCTATCTGTATATCTGTTTGCCCAAATGGAATGTACAGGTAGACAGATATACTGACATGAAAATTCAATGAACTACCATGGTGCTCCACAGCGCCGTTATAGTTCGTTGAGAACTACAAGCCGACAGCCACTAGTTCATTCAAAGAACACTGTGAATGAATGGCGTGGCCATGTGGGTGGAGCCCCGCAAGGTCGTATTGTTTTAAAAAAGTTACAGCTTGTACGGTGCACTTCTCCCCATACTTCTGTCACGGGAGGGGGTTTGGTCAGCAACTGCAGCATTGGGAAAATGTTACATGTGCCATCTTAAAAACAGGTGGAACATTTTAACATTTCTCGGCACAGTTGTTAATGTTTGCTGTTGCCTAGTTTGTACACTGAACCCATTTCTTTTTGCCTTTTAGTTACAAACATTCATTAATACATAAAACAGAAACATGGACCATCTATCTGTTATGTTCTTTACAAACAAAAAAGGAATGGAGGAAGATTTAGTACTTATAGTATGCCACATTTTAGGCATCTTTAATACAGGCACTGTGAATGGACAACGTGTCTATGCGACTCAAACCACTAGGTGCTGAATGCAGGCAGCCCATGTACGTGTAAGGCACACAGTTTCTACATGGACGCAGCTGACAGTCGTGCGGATCAGTGGCCCGAAAACACATTGTCTGCATTAGTGACACTCACCCACATGTCAGAGTAGGGGTCCATGCATCTGCTGTGTCCCTATACACTTACAGGGCACACCCTGGGAGCTCAAGCCGCATAAACACACAGCTCATTCATGGTCTATGGGCTTCAACACCTATGTGAATGAAGCTATAAGGTCAAACAAATAGAACCAGTTTTTGCATACGAGTAAGCCAAAAGCAATGCTCTCCCTTTGGCTGATAGCTTATCCGAACTGTCAAACATAGGCTTAGCCACCAGAGGGAGGCATCAGTGGCTACATGGCTAATATACAGATCAAAAACTCCAGTAATAACTACAGTTGATCTGCTCAAAATACACACACTCTGCATGCTCTATAATGTAAATCGCATCACAGTGTGATGTTTTAAAGCATATTATTTCTATATGTACATTGTAACTATATGCATATAGAGAAACAACATATGCTTTTTACATATGCAAAAACGGTAACCAGGATGGATCTTTTTTTCTACTAGAATGATGAAAAGCCTGAAAATAAGGTGCAGGACTCCACTGAAAGAATGGAGCATGAAACATATGGCAAGACTGCAGAGGACAACCTACAAAGTGATGACGCTGCTGAATTGGCTGGTGCTGCTTCGGAAAAGGATGAAGCCAAACAAGTAAATTCAGTTCTCAAATTTTTTTTTCATAATTGGTATTGTGTTTGATGGAAAATAAATGTGCTATAAAACAGGTTCATTCACACTGTGCAGACAATAAATGCATCAAACTCTCCTTTTTTTTTTTTAAATCTTTTTTTAAGTGTGCAAATTGACACGTATAATCATGTCTCTTCACAGAAGTGCAGCATGTTGAACTGCAGTGCCATCCTGTACACTATTAAAAAAAATGCAGTATGTTTTCACTTTTCTGCATCGCACAACAGACCAGCGTTGTGATGCGGACGGGGCACACAGAAAACATTTAATTTTTATGCGCCCGTGCAATGATTGGTGTTCAGTACAGAATAGTGCCAGTCACTGCAGATAGCGTGAATGAGCTTTTAGGCAGACAAGATGATAGTATTTGCATGATCTGTCAACATTTGAAAAAATATTTTATTTGGTTCATAGAGTTGATCCTATGGTAAATGACCAATAATATTTTGAAACCTGAAATGTATTTCTACTGTAATGTTTAGGAACACGGAAATGGCTATGCTGATGCAAGTCAGTCTGAAGGGCACGAGTCCAAACTAATGGCCCGCCTGGCTTCTCAGAAGCAAAGTGTGCGCAATACACAGGTAAATTGCTTATCTGTTATACTGACACTGTCAGCATTCAGTTAACTTATTTTATGTTCCTCTTGAAGGAAAGAGAATTTTCATTGAACACAATGCTAGTTAATGACTGCAGTCAAGTTTGCACATTTTTAATGTTTGAGTACATTAAAATGTCACTCTGTCAAACCACAAATTTGATTTCCTTTTCAAGAATACAATACTCTTTTGTTAAACAATTAATTTAAATAGATAAATATTGCCCATAGTAGTCCCTTTAGCTTTTGCTCTTGCGTATCTTTTTTTGTTTTTTTGTTTTTCTTTAACTAGAGCATCAAACGTAAGCCTGGGCAAGCAGATGACGATCGCACTTTAGGGGATCAGAATGAGCAGGTTCATAAGCGGTTGCGGACTATGGACACTGCCAGTGAAATGGGAAATGAAGACAAACAAGCACAACAAAATGAAGAGGCTGATGCTTATGAGCACATCAAACAAGGAGCACAGTCCTATGATGCTCAGACATATGGTACATTTAGAGTCGGTATTGTAACATGGCCGTTTACAGCATGGCTTGTCAACTGTTTGCTCATAACATTTCTTCTTCACAATGCAGATACAGCCAGCAAAGATCAAGAGAAATCCCAGCCACATAAGGAGGAACAAGATAACAGTACTGTGCAGGATGTAGAAATGGAGTCAAAGGAAAATGAAACATTGGAAGCGGTCAATGTGGAGCACCTAAAGCCAGAGGAAAAAAGATCCAATGAGTCTATAACACAAGGTAAGTAAGCAGATGGTTTAAAGCAGCTTGAGCACTTTAGGAGTCATAATAAGAACAGAGTCTTTGTAAAGGGTTTGACACAGTACATTCCTGCACAGTTGTTTAATTTAAGTAGATGCACATAGCTTTTGTTCTAAACTGGAACAGATCATTTATACTACAAACACTTTCAAAATACACAGAGGCTTAAAACACTACAGTAGAGGCAGTATATAATGTCTGCATCTAACTTTTGGATGCCTTTTGCTGCAGCCCAGTGCCTCGAATCCACAGCTGGTGTAAGTAGCAGCTTTCAACAGTACCTGGTAGTGTTATTTACAGACTCTGCCTCCTCCGGCTTGTTCCTGATGTTCAGTAAGCCCACCCATTATACTGATGGTCCAATTGGCACAACACTGTTAGAAAGTATTGATACTTGTCAGTTAAAGTAGAATTTGATTCAGGATACCTGGATTGTGGAAGAAGACTTATAAATAGCAACATTTAAGTACCTGAATTGCAGTGCTGATGCTTGGCAGTATTGTTGGGGTACTGAAAGCTGTGTTTTAAATCTGTGCAATCATTCATAAGCAATGTGCAGCTGGTATCCTCACCCAGTCATAAATCTAAATTACCCTTTTTTTTTCTTTTTTTTTTAAATTAAAAACAAAAGAAACTAATGAGACTGAAAAATTAAATCAAAAGCACTTGCAATAGATCGACTTGTAGATGTTTAAGCTAACAGGGAAGGGTGCATTGAAACTGAGCTTCGGAACCCTATGTAAATCTCTTGCATTGTCTATAAAAGCAGGGCCCGAGGAAAGCAAATTAGACTTGCAAGGACTAATGGTAGAAGATGTACAGAGAAAAGATGTGGAACCTACAAATGTGGATAAGGAGAAACATGAGAGAAGCACAGAGTCTACCATTCATACTGCCTGGGAGTTTTTAAAAGAAGGATCTGCAATGGTAAGCTCAACTTGCATTTACAACAAATGGGCAAATAACAATGGCGGATATTTGTTGTAGAATATTGTGTATCCTGTACTGTACTCTGATATGGAAATTACAGGTTAGTCAATTTTATTTTATTTGTGCAGTACAGGCTTGATATGTATAGACCCTGATACATCTGCAGGCAATGAATAAGAAGTGTGAGCAACAACCAGGCAAACAGACCTGTGTCAACAGGCCCAATAATAACAATGATCAACAGATTCAACGCAGTATCGCTGCAAGTCCTCAGGTGATGGACCTCTTTTCCCTTTCAGAGAAATCAATCTTAGCCTAACTAGTTTAATATTTTACTTCAGATTCTTTGATCAAACTCCTCACGGTCTTCTAATACAACAATAGAAGCAGTGTTTCCGAATCAGTGCAACCTTAGTAAAACCTTGGGAATCACACCCAGACACCACACCATAGGGGGTAGCCTGTAACTTTTCCTCAGGCACTGGATCCTGCATAAGAACATTCACCTTGGCAGTTGGTGCAATGCATGCATTTAGCCACAGGGTGCTATCCTGGTCAAGCGCTGTGGCCATTCCCTATGGAACCTATGCTCCAAAGACCCCATCAGTGGTATACCCACGGTGAAGCCTGGACCCTATATAATAAGGCAGGGTGACCCTATTTACTAAACCTTTACTGTAGCCAGTAGCAAGCATTAAACATATTACATCCATTACTTGCTTTATTTATGTTTATCCAGAATAGTATGCTTTTACATGCAATAAATATTGGAATGCATTCACTTTTATAGTGTAGACTTTTCAAACTTGGTGTTAAAACTCAACCACTTAAAAGCTTAGTCTCAGGTGGTTGACCACATGTTACATCATCCCACTGATTTACATGATTTACCACCACCTCCACCCAAAACCCTTTTTAAGGAGCGCGGGCGCTTCTTCCGCCCTTTTCCTAGGAGGAGGTCCATACAAAATGATCTGTACCTAGGTTGCTGTGTACTCCTTTCTGGACACGCTTACCTCATTTTTGGTCCCTACTCCATGAGTACCCCTCAGGGGGAATATGGTTACCCATAGCAATGATGGAAACAAGGCACAAGGGAGCAGTGGCAACAGCTCAGGCAATGCAGAATGCCTGCAAAACATTTAAACTCATAGTGACAATGCTTCCCTTGCAACAGAGCTGGGCCCAACGTTAACACCAGTCTATGCATTCCATTCTAGTTTTATCCCAGGCACATAACAAGAAATCTACTTAATTAAGACTGTTTTTTCTGCAACTATGTTATTACCCAGACGGCAAAAAGCTTTAATGAAGCCATCACTGTCTAGGGCTTAAAAACATTCATCCTCAAACGAATGGGCTGCTTTGCTTCTGCAAACGTGGGCCATACTACCTGCAGAAGTGTGAACCTAGCCCTAACACTGACAAGGGTGCTTACAATGGTCAACTTTTATTTATTAATGTAAAACCTTTATCCCAAAAGGAACAAAACTGTTGCTCTAACTGGTTATAATGTGTTAGCTGGTCTCTGGCTTTAACAGGTTTAGTGTATTTAAATATGCTAGTCCATGTAAAACCAGGAAACCACTCCTGTAAAATATCTACCTTACAGGGCTACCCCGGAAGTTCAAATACAACACAACAAACCACAAAAAATCTATATAAACATAGCTCTTGGCAACCAACTGTTTAGCAAATGCATTTTATGGCATATATAGAAAGATCTTAGACACAGAACACAAGATAAACAAATGTGTGTGTGCGCGTGCATACACACAGGCCTTGAAATTCGCGAGTGGAAATAACATGGGGGCGAGGGCTAGATCGATCAAACAGCCAATGGATATGGAGCGGGGTGCCGGCACCAGAGGCGGAATAAGCTTTTAGGCATTAAGCACTCACACACTACCCAAGGTCCTTAGGAGGTCCTATGACAGTCTCCTGAAAGGATGGGGAGGGGCCGCAGGATGGATTGTGCAAGCGTGCTACGAGTCCGGTCTGGTGAGAGGAGAGCATGACTGACAGAGCCCAAGAAGGAGGAGAATCCACAGACTGGTGAGAACTCCGCATGTAACAGTGGGAGGAAGGGGGAGAAATGTCTGTGACAGGAGTGCTGAGAAACGGAGTGTGACAGGCTGAGAGAGCCAGAGGGGAGACGTGTGTGTGTGTGTGTGTGTGTGTGGGTGGTTGGGGGGGCTCTGTATTAATTTTATGTAGTAGGGGGCCCTGTGTGTTCTGGGGGGGGGGGGCATTGTACCATAATGGAGACCATGTGTTCTAAGAGGGGGGTTGTGTGCTCCTTATAACCTCAAATTATGGAGGGATGGTGCCATAATTCTGAGTAGCAGAAATACCTATCACCCCCCTTTTTTGCCCCCCTTCTGCCCTCTTTTTCTCTCACATACAACCCCCCCCCCTTTTTTTTTTTTTTTTCCCCCTTCAAAGGAGGTTGAGGACATGGCTATGGGGGGGGGGGGGGTGAAGGTGGGTATATATTTATTTCTGTAAGTGTATTCTGCATAAAACATTTAACAGTGTCATTTAATGAGAGAATTTACAAGGGCGTGTTTAGGGGAGGGATTAGGGGCATGGCAGGGTAGCTGTTGGGTGGGGCAACTGGCAGCGAGTAACTCTTAACTGGCAGCGAGTAACTCTTACGGCCTGCTAGTAGCTCAGGTATATTGAAATGTGTATATATATTATATAGCCGTGTGTGTGTGTGTGTGTGTATATGTGTGTATATATATATATATTTATGTGTGTGTGTGCATATATGTGTGTGTGTGTGTATGTGTGTGTGTGTATATATATATATATATATATATATATATATATATATATATATACACAGTCATGGCCAAGAATAAAATACTGTCACCCCTACATTTCTGTCAGATAATGCCCCACTTCGCCCAGCAAATTGTTGCAATTACAAATGTTTAGGCATTCTCATGTCTTTCTTTTGTTTGTATTGGTATGACACAAAGTTGAGAACCAAAAAGCCAAATCTGACACATTCCACGCAAAACCCCCAAAATGGACAACATTATTGACACCCTCAATTAAATATTTGGTAGCACACCCCTTGGAAAAATAACTCAATCGCTTCCTGTAACCATCGATGAGTTTCTTACACCTGTATACTGGAATTTTGGATCACACTTCTTTCGCCAACTGCTCCAGGTCTCTCAGATTGGAAGGGTTCCTTTTCCCAACTGCTGTTTTGAGATCTCTCCACAGGTGTTCTATGGGATTGAGATCTGGACTCATTGCTGGCCAGTTCAGTACTTTCCAGCGTTTTATCTTAAGCCATTTCTGGATGCTTTTGGATGTGTGCTTTGTGTCTTTGTCGTGCTGCAAGACCCATGACCTCTGATGGAGACCCAACTTTCTGACACTGGGCCCTATATTGCACCCCATAATTCTTTGGTAGTCTTCAGATTTCATGCCATACACACTATGAAGACATCCAGTGCCTGAAGCAGCAAAGCAACCCCAAAATATCAGTGAACCTCCACCATGTTTGGCTGTAGGGACTGTATTCTTTAATGGCTTTATTGCTTTTTTCTTAAAACAGTAGATTGGTGGCCTTTACCAAAAAGCTGTAATTTTGTTTGTTTAGCCTGTCCACAGCACATTTCCCAAAAGAATTCTTCCTCAGATAAGTTTTGCCAAACTCCCATCTGGATGTTTTATGTTTGTGTCAGCAGTTGGGTCCTCCTGGGTCTCCTACCATAGTGTCCCTTTGTATTCAGATGGCGATGTATAGTGCAAGCTGACACAGTTGTACCCGGTGCATGAAGGTCTGCTTGAATTTGTCTGGAAGTTGATTGATGTTCTTTATCCACCATTTGAACAAACCTTCGCAGCAATCTTTGATCAGTTTCTCTTTCGTTCACATCCAGGGAGATAAGCTACAGTGCCATGGACTGTAAATTTCTTGACAATGTTGCGCACAGTGGACACAGGAACATTAAGATCTCTGGAACTGTAATGTTGAGATTGTCTGTGCTTTTCCACAATTTTTGTTCTCAAATCCTCAGACAATTCTTTGCTGCTCTTCTGTATGCTCCATGTGGCACACAGAGACGCACAACAGACAGGTTTAGCACCTGTTAATTGAAACAAATGACTTTAATTACAAATTACAGGAGCATCACGAACTTGGAATGCAATTGTTTCTTACAAGTTTGAGAAGGTGCCAATAATTTTGTCCAGTCCATTTTTGGAGTTTTATGTGGAATGTGTCAGATTTGTCTTTTTGTTCACTTTTTTTTAACAATTTTCTGGGTGAAATGGTTTCATTATCTGACAGAAATGCAGGGGTGCCTTTTTTTTGGCCATGACTGTATGTGTGACAGCACTGTCAATGCATGTGAAAAAGCAACACCTCTATCCATAATTCATATGTGACTTAAATACATAAAACATAAACCTTGAACTCCAAATTCATATAAAAACATCTTGTGATAAAACTCCTCAAACATAATAAGCTTATTAAAGTGTCCAGTGCTTAAATAAATTTCTAAAATCTTCATCTGTAGAAATCATCTTGATGCAAAGTGCTCACACCCCTAAGAGCTCCATCTTCCACTCTAATGATCACCAAACAGATCTTTTTTTGCTCAGAACCACACTACTCCACAAGATCAGCTCTCTCTCACCATAAACATGATCTTTTAATCTTATTCCATGTTCTCATTAACCCACAGCAAACACTGGTTGAAAGCAAAGAGCGAAAAGGCTCCCCAGCATAAAACCTTTTATTTCTAAAGCACTGAAATGAATCAATTGCACTTATATAGGACCAGTGTCCTTCGCAACACTAAGGAATAGACCACATGTAACTTTAAACTGTGCTGGCTTCAGCTGTAACATACAGACTGCAAGCAGGCACCTACTGTGCAGGATGACGTCACGACCAGACCATCCACTCCCCCTTACTAATTTCATTGGATTATTTATCCTTAGGGACTTCCCTGAAGATTTCAATACAATGAAATGCGTAAAATGCAATATGGCAACCTGAAGGCATTCTGTACAGTTTGTGTACAGAACTTCCCCCAGAAATGTAATTTCCTGCGTGTGTGATTGGCTACACTAAAATGCAAGCCAGATTTTAGGCATCCCCTGTTGCATAAATATAATTTCTGGTGATATACTCCCAAATGAAAATCACATCTAAAGGAATGCAGACCCTGCCAATTTACTCATCAGAACCCTGCAAGTGCAGCAGCTGATTAAAAAAAGTTATTTTTTTTTAAGGATTCAGTAGGCCAGACTCTACTATAAAGTCTTATTTTGCTATGGAAAACTGGACAAGAGACATCAATAGTCAATAATCAAATCTTTCTCCTAACAGCTTGTACTTGCAGCCTCAGCCTTACTATTCTTCATAGACATCATGGAGAATGCGATTCATCAAATCTGCAGAATGTCCACATCCACAGAATTTTATGACTTTGAGCTTGGTTGAATAACCCTGCTTGGGAAAGGTGCCTCTTGCTTCTTCCCTTAAAAGATGAGATCACCTTTGGAAAATCCCTTGAAGAATTCATTGAAGTGGATACTGAGGGAAGGGAGAGAGGGGTCCTTACCCCACTATCCACAATCGCTCCTACCTATTGAATTGGCCTCCTCTACTTTACATATACAATCAAGGCATCATCTACTGCAGGTCCTTACTTTCATGGAAGACCTTCCACCTCTAAGCCCACTGGACCTGCTAAGTAGCCTACTTCACATTGAAGGTTTACCTCCACCCCTGGAGGTGCAAGGGGACACATCTACAAATTTTATTCTCTCAGTTTAAAACTTCGATTTCTTGACTTTTTTTTTTCCTTTTGTCCACACTATCTATGGGGCGTTACACCTCGGTCACATCAAGCCCAACTTCACTAAGTCGCATGATCTTAAAGTCAGGGGACATGCCGATTTCAGGTGCGATTTGTAAGATATCTGACACAGATGTCTATGCAAATCGCAGCAAAAGTAGGGCATGCACTACATTGGAAATCTGTGTGTGGTTCCGACCAAGTCATTTTCCTACAGCTTATGATAACAAGATTTGGTCATGTCCTTTCCTTTTAGGATACTATACAAGGACAAGCCAAATCCTACATAAAAACCCTTGTCTGTTTAGGATGACTCGTGTTCTTTAAAATATCTGTCAACTGATGCATTGGTTAGACTCCTGCAAGGTCTTCTACAGACCGGCCAATATGTCTGCCTTATATTCTTAAGACCTGCCACTCAATACGTCATGCGAGAGAATGTCTATTATTAAAGATTAAGGCAGCCCATACATTAGTAATTTTCACACATCCACTCAGCTATGGTATTCTAACAGCAGGAAGACTTCCCGGCCATCAGAATATACTAATCAGCGCTGCTGGCTATTTCTGGGTCTAATCCCTACATCATTCCTATTCATATTTTCCTTCATTACATTTTGTCTGTCTGGTCCATGTTCAGGAGCAAACTCTTAGTTGCACCCCTCATTAGACTCGCCCTGAGAATTTATTTCAATTTATGCTGGTGGACTCTTTAGAGACCAACACTAGTTATCTCTACTCAGTCACCAGGACTATTTTGAGGAGCTATGCTCCACTACCTAGAGCTTTTTTTTTTTTTTTTTGTTTTTTTACTCCCTAGTACATTAATGCACCTCCCTGGCTTAAATCCTCACTCTACCCTGAGCTCTGATTTGTCCTCCCTCCCCGTATCAGGTTTGCCATTTACCAAGTTGATTATTTTATGGGCTAAGAACCCATTCTGCTCTTGCCTTCTAAAAAAACTGATCTTGTATACTGTTTGATTCCATTTCCTGGTTTTGTACTAGAACAAGTCACGCTGCTCCTGTTCAGTGCTTCCCTTATACATGATTTCCGTCTCCATGCACATCTTTAATTTACTGGTATTCATTAGGTAGGCTAATTCCAACCTCTAATTGGGTGGCCGTTTTTCTGTGGGACATGCAAATTGCTTCCCACCAGACTGCAGTTAATCATGTGAAGTAGTTATCACCTAGTGTGTATTGTTGCTGTATTGTCTCCCATTATATTGTAAAGCGCTGAGCAAACTGTTGGCGCTATATAAATCCTGTATAATAATAATAGTGTGATAATGAACCCCATTCCAGAACTTGTTCCTGTGACAGTTTGGCAATTGCCAAACAACTAGCCCTTGGTAACCTACGGGTCTTGTTTCAGCCTTTTATATTTTCTTTTATAATACCTTGGCTCTAACACTCCTTGTGCACTCTTTGCAAGTAGTTGCTCCTCTTCGTCATCCTGCTGAAACCTGCTGTGTCCATCTGGCTTTTTCTTCAGGTGCTGTTGGCCACACAGAACCCTCCCCTCGTGTTCAGTGGGATCACTCCTTTTAAAGGTTCTTTATAAGAATGGAGCTTTCTTCTCTCCATTGCTCTTGGTAGCTGTTGGTTCTGCCTTGACAACCGCTATTATCTTCTTGGAACCCCCTGTGTTTTTCTTAAGCTACATCTAGAACAAGTAGCCTCAAAGCCAGTTCTTGCTGCCTTAGTGCTGTTCTTATTGCCTTCTGTGAGAATGTCAGGAATGTAATCTATGCTTACCTCTGACATGTCTTGTTTTGGGAACTAACCCTTCTGTTTCCTCACTGGGCGATCCTTTTATGGGTTCCTCTTCCACTTGGCTGAGTGATTTGGCCTTTATTTTAAGGCTTCTATCCACAGATAGTATCTCTTTCCTTACCTGAGCCCATTCCCTCAGAGATGTTGGGGTTCTTGGACGTTTTACAGCATCTATTATCTGTTTTTATCACAAGTTACGGGACTTACCATCTGATCCTCTTTTTTATTTTCAAAACCATTTTTTGCCAGATAACTTTTTGAGATTGCTAATGCATGCTTCGGCTGCAAGGTGCTACTACTGTCAGCTTATTTTGTCCCAGCACAGCTTTTGTGTGAGGAATTTAACCCATGGTCTAAGAATTCATTCCTATGTTCTCTATTTTACTTTAAGATGTAGAATTTACAGGTACATCAAAATTCCTGTTGTCTGGTTTTTCATTTTATTGTAGATTTTGAATTACTCGGCTAACCTTTGTTTCATTCCTTGTCTCTTAATTTTGAGACTCCATTTTGCTCCTTGTTTGCTCCAGTGGAGTGTGTTTTATGAAACGCTGCATAAAAGCAACCACCTGTTCCTGTTTGTGATTTAATACATTTGTGTACTGTATATCATCTTCACTGTACAATTTATTTATCTCCATCAGACCCCCGAAAACCCTGAAGAGCTTAGAAGAGAGCTTGAAAAGCAACTGGAGGAGTGGCAGACGCATCCTATTGGGGATGCAGAGGAGGTGGGTAGATTGAGTCTAAAGTCTTTGTTTTGGTCCCTATTTACCTCAGTGTACCTATTGTACAATGAATCTGACAGCAGGACGAAACGTGAGGGAACCAATAAAATATTTAGAAATGCTTTATATTTTTTTTTCCTTCAACCACATTCTGTTTACTCTGTGGGAAAGGAGTTAGGAGAGGGGGATTGGGGAGTTGGGCATGCATAAGATACTAGAGGGATTTGAATACCCTCTCTTGCTAACTAGCATACAGCCATCTCTAATTTTCCTTGAAGCAAGAGTTTCAAGCATTTGTTTTCTGTACTGTGTAGGTAAAAAGCAATTGCTCTGTAATGGTATTGAATAACCTTATAGGGTTCTTCCAACCTACATTCTTCTACGGATGTGTTTGTTCTATGTAGGGTCCTCTCTTTGAACCTTTAGCTATGAGGTACCCTAGTTGTGAGCATGGATGACGATACTGGAGGCAGAGCTTAAAGTGGTTGGAAAGGCTGAAGGTTCTTTTCTTGAATGCATTCTCTGCATTAGGTGAAAAAGCTTCAATGCTCTGTTTTTCCCAGCAAACCCCTGTGCACCCCCCCTCCTCACTACTTACCTGAGCCTGATCTCAATCAGCTGCAGCTCTTCCAGCTCTCTGTCTCCTCATTGGCTCAGAGACAGCAGTGAAAGTGACTTAAAAAAAAAAAAAAAAAAAAAAAAAAAAAATTACATGCATGCTATACTTACCTGCTCTGTGCAATGGTTTTGCACAGGGCAGCCCTGTGCAAAACCATTGCACAGAGCAGGTAAGTATAGCATGCATGTAATTTTTTTTTTTTTTTTTTTTTTTTTTTTTTTTTTTTTAAGTCACTTTAAATGTTATGTATTAATTTGCAGGTTACCAGTTCTTAGATGTGACTGCATTTTATTTTTTCGTTTTATTAGACTTGTTTCCTTTATTTTCACTTGGTGATTCAGTCAGTAAGTTTCAGCTTGCTTCAGCAGACCAAGCTGTCCAGACAAAGTACAGTAGCAGTTAGAAGGTTGACGCATACTGTTTAACACTGACAAAGGTGCTTACATTAGTCATATTTTTTTCCATTTATGTAAAACCTTTATCCCAAAAGGGAAAAAACTGCTGTAACTGCTAGAGATCAGTCTCAATTTGTTAGTAATGTCCTTTTTAAATCTGCTTGTCTAAAGCTTGGCCATACATAGACTGAAATTCAGCTAGTCCCTGCTGAACTGGCCAAATTTCAGTCCGTGTGACCACTGTGGTTAAAGAGAAGTCAGTCTACTAATTGACGTCTATTCAACTGCCCTATCAGATAAAGTTGCTTGATCAGTGCTGATCTGTGTATTCTGGCAGTGGGGGAATTACCCTGCTGTCTGAATATAATATCTGTTTGTTTTAGCCAACTGGCTGATCAAAAAAAACTGAACCATGTATGGCCAGTTTTACACTGTCTGAACCATGTATGGCCACCTTTACATTATCCTCTGAGGGACCCTCAGACAGGAATTGTTACTGGCTTGGTCACATGAAATAAAGAGAAAAATTTGCATTTTTGTTTTTGAATTTAATATCACTTTAACTCTGAACCTAACTCTTGAAAAACTGTAGTTTTATAATTATGCAATAGAAGAGAAACACTGTCACCTACACTTTAGGTTACGATTATGTCAGTCCAGTGTCCATGTGAGACTTCATGGCAGTGTGGGTGAGAGCCAGGAACTCTGGCAGACAAACTATTAAACTGTAGTTTTGCATTGCATGGCTTATGTACGTATAACAAATAGCTGCTATTTCTTTTTGTTTTAGGAGAAGGCAGCATCTGAAATGTGGCAGAGATATCTCCTGCTCACTGGTTCTCTGTCTCAGCAGTTGTGTGAGCAACTGAGGCTCATATTGGAGCCAACACAGGCAGCCAAGCTGAAGTAAGTATAGTGTTGTAATGTTCACTTACAAAAAAGGCAGTCTATGGTGAAAAACAGCAGACCTTATTATTCTTAATTTATGTTGAAGTTTAGCCTTGAATTTGGGTCTTCTAGTGTAACTGCTGATAATAAAAGCAGTCTGCAGCTGGTTAGAGAAATTCTTTTAATATTCCCTTACACCATTATAATATTGTCATCCCTGATTGACAGCTGATTAAATTGAGCCTTGAATCATCTAAACATCTGTTTCACTCTGCAGAGGTGATTATCGAACAGGAAAGAGGCTGAATATGAGGAAGGTAATTCCATATATTGCCAGTCAGTTTAGAAAAGACAAAATTTGGCTGAGGAGAACAAAACCCAGCAAGCGTCAATACCAGATCTGTCTAGCTATTGATGATTCTGCCAGTATGGTTGATAACCATTCTAAACAGGTAATAACTTCTTGATTGTTTACTTGTAGCACATTTCTCCCAGTCTGGTGTTTTTAAAAATACAATAATTTCCTTTCTTTTTCAGCTTGCCTATGAAGCATTAGCTGTGATTGGAAATGCATTAACTTTACTTGAAGTGGGACAAATTGCTGTGTATAGGTATGTACCTCCCCTCTTTGTTATTTGTCTGTTATGTTCGGTCTTATTATTATTATTATTATTATTCAGTATTTATAAAGCGCCAATAGTTCGCTCAGCGCTGTACATTACAAAGGGGGACAGAACATGTGACAGAACAATACCAATACAATGCAAAACATGAGGGGATCGAGGGCCCTGCTCTTTCAAGCTTACAATCTAGGAGGGAGGGGATGGTGGCACAGGAGGAGATAGCTGTGTCTTAGAATATTACGCTCGCAGACAAAACAAATGGATGACTAAAGTATGTAGGAAAGATTGGCATAACTTGAATTAGTCTTTAAGAGGGTAAAACAACCTTTTGTTTCTAAATAATGGTCAATCTTACACTAACCGTGTCTTACATTTAGTTTTGGAGAGAACGTCAAGCTTTTACATCCTTTCCATGAACAATTTAGTGAGCAGTCTGGTTCCAGGATCCTTAATCAGTGCAAGTTCCAACAAAAGAAGACTTTGCTTGCCCAGGTAATAGAGCAGAAATGTTTGGTTAGAAGACTGTGAATTGATGCACAAACTCATATTTTTAATTGGCAGATATTTGAGGTGTGCAGTCTAATGTAAATCATTTTCTGTTTTGTGTCAAGTTTTTGGAGTCCTCAGTCCCCATGTTTGAAGCTGCACAACGATTATCTCCGGGCACTAATCCAGGTAAGCACTATCTTTCACATGTGAGTAGCTATAAGAAATGTGACGGCAATGTGTTTACCATAGAGTGTAGTATATTTCCAAAAGTTAGAGCTACGACTCTCAGAAATCTGAAAATAAGTTCACTGTTTGAGTTGTTTAACCACTTGCCTACTGGGCACTTTTACCCCCTTCCTGCCCAGGCCAATTTTCAGTTTTCAGTGCTGTCACACTTTGACAATTGTGCGGTCATGAAACACTGTACCCATACAAAATTTGTATCATTTATTTTTAGACAGAGCTTTCTTTTGGGGGTATTTAATCACCACTGTTGTTTTTATTTTTTGCTGAACAAACTAAAAAAGACTGAAAATTAAAAAAAAAAAGTCTCATTTACAAAAAACTAAGTAATTTTCCTCCTTCACTGATGTGCGCTTATGAGGCTGCAGTGATGGGCATTGATAGGCGGCACTGATGAGGAAACACTGTAAAGGTGGCACTAATGGGCATTGACAGGCATCACTGATGGACACTGATAGGTGGCACTGATATGCATGGGCACTGATGGGGCTACACTGATTTTCAGGGCACTGATCATCAGTGTAGATGTCCCCACTGAGGAATGCCGATTACCAGCTCTCCTCTCCTCACGAGCTGTTAGCGGGAGGAGAGGACTGCTGATAACCAGCATTTCCTATTTACATGTGATCAGCTGTGATTGGACACAGTTGATCACATGACAGAGCCGACATCATTGGCTCTTTACAGTGATCAGTGATCTGCTGTGTCCCAGGGACACAGCGCACCGCCGATTGCCACACGCCCCCGACGTCAACAAGAGAAAAGCTGCCCGCCCGTCATTACTTTATATGGCGGGCGGCGGTTAAAAACGATAATACACAGTTAACGTGAAAATTTTTAACTTCCACTCAGTCAAAGACAGTTTTATTCCGGTAGTACGTGTCATGTTTAGATGTGCTCGGGATCATTTTCAGGGTATATACATGCATCTGACTGAATAACATTTACACTTGTTATTTCATTTTCATGATGCAGCTTTTGGTTACTTTTTAAGCGTAATTGTACCCTTCACACACTTGGTGTATGTACCTACGTAATGCTGGTTTGCATTTGGATCTCACTACCTGACTTGTGAGGACAGTCCTTATTAATTCACTGAACTATGATACTTTGTGTAATGACGTGTAAATGTGAATCAATACAGTAGCACTGTGAACCCAGACCAGTCTGAAAAAGACCCTCAGGGGGTGTCCTTGATGGCCTGAGCTCACAGGAGGAAGTAGTTTGAAGTTGGCAGATATTCAAACCAGAAGAGAAATACTCCGAGCTGGAGAAGCCGGCAACAGCACCAAACTTAAGGTGGACATTGCAGCAAAATACTTTAACTGGAATTCTGCTTTAATTCTATGTCTACCAAAAGCTGATTTTTCAGTTGACAGACTCTAATGCAATTGAATGCAGAGATAGCCATGTTCTGGCAACGAGATGGGCTCCTAAATCCCTCCATCTCCCCAAAGGGTCAGAATAGCTCTGAATCCCTGCTTTTATCTACTAATTTTATGGTTTCAGGGGCACAGTCCTTCATTTCCTTAGTTTGAAGAGAGGAATTTTTGCAACCATATTTGGACTGTGTAAACAGCTCTCGGGTTTTTGAGGGCTTGGAACAGCTGTAATGCAAACATTGATGCTCTCCTTCCCCACCTCCCCTTTTGAGGAAGGATGAGCTGTTGAGAAATTCCTCTGGAAGAGGTGAATACTGTTGAGGATCAGGAATCCTATGGGGACAAGTCCTCCCAGGAGCAATCTCTGGATCCAGGGTTGTCTCAGGCTGTCACCGCTGCCAAAATCTCTTTTTCTCTTAAGTCACTGGTATTCGGTCCTGGTAGCCACCAAACAATCCCAAGTCTTTACCAATACACTCCTCATTTACAAGAAGGTGATGTAGACCAATTGAGCTCACCCAGAAATGGTATTTTTGCCACCGAAGGGTCTTGCCCGTTCTACTTCTTGGGTCCCTCTCTGGTGCAACTCGGCCATTCTTCCTTCTGAGTGCCCCCAAAGCAAGCACTCGTGCATACTTACTCCTTAGTCAACCCTATATGTCCATAAGACATACAGAGCATGGCTTTGCCCCGCCCTCCCTCCTCATTGGCTGATATTGACAGCAGCAGGAGCCAATGGCTTGCACTGCTGTGTCTCAGCCAACGAGGAGAGACCCGCGAGAGCCAAGGCTCTCCTGCACAGTGCTGGATCGCGATCAGGCATAGGTAAGTACTAGGGGGGAGCTGCACACTGAAGGTATTTTATACTTTAATGCATTCTATTCATGAAGGTATAAAAACTTTCAGCCTTTAAAACCACTTTAACCTCCCTCACGGTATTCCCGAGTGTAGCTCGGGGTAACATTTCAGTACCAAAAGCGGTAACCCCGAGCTACACTCGGGCTTACCCTGCGGCACTGCTCCAGCAAGTTGTCTTCACTTACCTTACCCTGCGCTCCCACGATGTGTCCCCTGCAGCGTCCCCGGCCATCTCCTCCGGCCGATGCCGGCATCCGGCTTCTGTGTCCTGTCCCTGTGACGTCGGGACGTACGGGCGCCGCCGCCGGCGGGAAATTTAAAAATTTTAAAAAATGTCATTTTTTTTTTTTTACATTTTACACAGTAAAACATTGCTGTTTCAACCAATTTCACATACATATTGTCCTTAGTGCTTTGTCCTGTGCCCTGCCTGCCTATTCTTTCTGCCTGGAAACTGAGAAATGTCCATGGCGTCCAAAAAGTGTCCCTTAGGTCAAAAGCGGGTTTAGATCAGCTAGAGAACAGCGATAGTAAATCAGAACCACTTTCAGAATTGAGTGATAATGATTCGTGGGGGAAATTCGTCGTCAGAAACTGAAAACGATTTTGCGACTGAGCTCAGCAATGTGCGAACTTGGCGCTCTATTTCACATTTCAGTGTTTTTGGTTTGATTATATTATTGAATTAAATTTTTTATTATTTTTATATTATTTTTATGATTATTTATTAAATTATAATTTATAATTTTGTGTTTCAAATTTTTATCATACCCGGGATGTTTACTAGACTCTTGTTCGGACAGATTTCAGTGAGTTTTTTCCTAAAAATTACAGCCTACAATAAAAAAAATACATATTTCCATGCAAAAAAATGGTAATGGGCTTTCAGCACCAAAAATCTGAAATAATCATACCGCCAGGGAGGTTAAGCCCTCCTTTTGGCACAAGTCTTGGACCACAAAGCCAACTAAGTCCCCACCAAAGCCCTCTTCCTAATGAAGGGCACCCTCCCACTCCTAAGAGTGGATGGTTATCTGGTTACATTTTGCTGCTCTCTGGGTCACAGACATCCCAGACCTGGTGTGTTTAATCAGTGGTTTCAGATAAGTACAAAGTTGAGTCTAAAAACTCTAACCCTCAGTTTTCTTCCCTCAAATCAACCAAAAACTGCCCAAGGACAGTCAGATTTGCAGAATTTCCTGAACCATGACTTGTCCCAGGATTTAGTTGAATAAAATTCTTTGAGCCTGTCTTGTGAAGGTACTGGCACAAACCTGTTCACCGCACCACCGACCCATTGTGGATGTTTGCCCTATTCGGGACTTAAAATCTCTCAACAAATACCTTCAAATTCTAATATCTTGAATGGAATCACGGAAGGCTGGTAATTGCCTCATTGAGACAAGGGGAATACATGGCATTCAAGATGTCTATCTGCATGTTCCCATTTATTCACCTGTTTGTAGCATCAATCACTTCCAGTTTTTTGCTCTGCCTTTCAACCTATCCTCTACTCCCAGAGTGTTCACAAAGGTCATAGCACCTCTTCTTGCCCTTCTCAGAATTCAAGGCATCTTTGCTAGATTTATTTAAATTGTGTAATCAGAATTGCCCAATCTAGTGTAATGAGATGTATGATCAGGATTTGATTTTCCTTGATTTTTGCTTGGGTAATTGCTTGTAGTAGCTCCTTTAAAAAAACAAAAGATGGGGGCTTAGAATATATGTAAATTAATTGAAAGAAAATTACTGCAATTAATCTTTCATATTCAAAAGACAAAAAAACAAAATGAGTACTATCCATAATGCAACTATTTGGAGTATTATGCTTCTGTCCACAGTTCCAGTACCAATACTAGTGTTTTGGTGTTACTAGTCTATGTAATATATATGTTTTTGTATTTTCCTTAAAGAAACTGCCCAGCTCCTCATAATTGTGTCGGATGGAAGAGGAATATTTGTGGAAGGAAAGGATCGTGTCACAAATGCCGTAAAAGCAGCCCGCAACGCAAACATCTTTATTATATTTATAATCTTGGATAACCCAATGTCCAAGGTACAGCCAATTTAAAAAAAAATCATTTTTTTATAATTAAAAATATTGTTTTAAACAGTTTTTTTAATCTTTGAAACTCTGGGACTATGTTAACTTTTAAGTAGGTTATACCATTTCATTATTTTACAGACAAACACTTCAGTGAAAGTGTGTAAATCTGCCTTACCACTAAACCATACACAACCTAATATTTTCAATAAAGCTGAAGAAAGGAGCGCTTCATAAGGGGGCTGTTTTTTTTTTTTTTTCTTCTCCTATTCTCTGCAATATGGTTGCACGTTGGACATTAGTAGGTCTTTGAATGTGAGACTTCCTAAGTACCTTAGAATGCATTATTGAGAGCAACCTTTTCTCTCTACCGCCTTGTTTGCAGTATATTTGCCCCTAGATTTATTAAGATTAGATTTAGACACATGCCTTCCTTACTGTGTCCCTTGTTTAGCTCTTCTCAAACATGGTTAAGACTTGGCAGAATAGTCAGTCATTGCAAGTGATGCAACTATTTTTTTACATCCATATAACATGATATAGCCACATCTTTAGTTAAAGTTTGAATACAGCAATTGAACAATATAAATGCAAGTGCCTTCTAATTTGACCTTTAACAAGTCTCTATTGTGTTTTTAGGATTCAATCCTGGATATAAAAGTGCCGATATTTACCACTCCGAAAGAAATGCCAAAAATGATATCTTACATGGAGCAATTTCCATTTCCATTCTACATCATACTTCGAGATGTGAACTCCCTTCCAGAAACCCTTAGTGATGCCCTCAGGCAGTGGTTTGAATTGGTGACTACGTCAGAATATGTGTAATCTATATATCTTCATACATGCACAGTAGTCTGAGCTTTACACCACTTGTATGGATAAGAGACCAGAGGAGGCACCAAGGACCCCCATACAAAGAAACATCCTGCAGTTCCATTGAGATTTTCTGTGGCCTGCAGCTCAGGTCAAGTCATTTCAGCATTGCAACAAGCTCTGCACTCCGTGACAAAATGTACCTCTTGGCTTAGAAAATCACATACCTCCAGCAAGTTAAGGGATACCATCAGCTTTCCCACTATGTACGTTAACAAAACACTGTATCATACATCTTTTCCACTGCTACATGCAGTAAAGACTGTAAAGTAATATAATATGTAGAGGCGTAGACCATGTTTGTATCTCTTCCTCATTCTAAAAAAAACAAAAATCAATGTTTTATTGTTTTTTTTGTTTGTTTTTTAGTAAGCCAAAGTTCACTTAAAAACATTTGATCAGAGATCTGAAATATTTCTAGTTTAGTTGTGGCCTAAATTGTCTATTCATCTTCTGTGAAATGTATTGTTGTAAATGGCGACATTATACTGTGAAGTCTGCACATTTTGTATATTATTATTAGGACGTACAGGTTTGACAGAAATCTACAATACTGTTTTTCTATCCTAATAGCTATGCAGCCTAATAAAGATCATTCTTAATAATCTGACTTCTGGTTGATGAAATCTAAAAAGTGGGTATAGTACATTCGATTTTAAATAAATATATTTTCTTAACCAGTTGCCAAGGATAGATGACAGTGATGCAGAAACAAAAATCCTGGTTTCATTTACAGCTCTGCAGTGCAAACATTACAGTTGGATGCCGATTGGTTGCTATGTGAAACAAAAAGCCTAAGCACATTTTACATATATAAGTTGCCAGCAGTCAATTTTACCTTATGGTGAAGATTTAAGGGGGCCTTAACCCCTTCCCGCCGGCGCCTCCCGGCCCTTTAAGAGTTTGACGCTGGGAGGTGGGGCGTGGTTTAGGGATCATGAGACCGCCGTGACTCTTCCCGAAAGAGCGGACCGGGACCTTTTCATGAGTACCGCACATGAGTGCTGGGAGCGCGCTCTCAGCACATATGTTTTTTGTTACATGAACGCAAATGTGCGGCCGCTCGGCGTCTAGGCCCAGACGCCGGGAGGCTGCACATTTGTGTGCGGCCGGCATGAAGGGGTTAAAAGAAACAAAAGTGGAATTTTAGAAAAAGCACATTTTGCTTTGTTCACATAAAATTTTTCTGATGACAATGGATGCAGTCTGACACTCTCAGAAAGCAATGATATAAGAGATTTTAGGTAAACATGCTTTCCCTTAATCCCCCTTCCCCCAATAAGCACTTTCACATGGGCTGAGTGCACAGTGATAGGGGAGCAAAGGAAATGTAAGAATGTGATTTTGGGGGGAGTGATAAGTGAAACCGGTTGGCTTTGCTCTGTAAAAGTATAGGTTCACTCATAGATCCATCTTTAATCACTTAAACTCTGCAAGGTTTTACTTGATGACCAGAAATTTTTTCTTTTCTTTTCAGCACTGCACTGCTTTAATTCGCAATTTCTTGGTCATGCAACACTGTGCCCAAATTAAATTTTTTTTTTTTACATAAATGGAGCTTTTTTTTTTTTTTTTGTGGTATCTGGGTTTGTATTATATAAATGAATAAAGACTGTACATTTTTTTAAAAAATTCTGTCTGTTCTAAAAAAAAAAAAAAAGAAAAATTCAACAAAATCCAATTTAGTTAAAATTTAGGCAAAAATGTATTCTGTTACATGTCTTTGGTAAGAAAAAAAAAATAAGTGTATATTAATTGGTTTCCTTGAAAGTTATAACATCTACAAACTATGGTGTGTGTGTATATATATATATATTTTTTTTTTTTTTACAGTTTTTACTTTCTGATTGCGTCATATTTCTTGAGGTGCGAAAATGCCAGGGCTCGAAATCCAATGACCACCTTCAGGTTTTCAAAGGGCCCAGCTTCCTCATGTCGCTTCCTTGTTACCTATCACAGTTTTGGAGGCCCTGAAATGCCAGAATAGTACAAACGCTCCCCCAAATGACCCCTTTTTGTAAAGTAGGTACCCCAATGAATTTGATAGGAGGCATGGTTTTTGCAGATCTCATTTTTTTCTTTTGGGGGGGGGGGGGGGGTGTTTTGTACTATCTTGGCATTTCAGGGCCTTGTAACCTGAGATAGGTAGTCAGGAATTGAAATGATGAAATTACGCACTTGAAGACCTGAAGGTGTTCATTGGATTTTGGGTTCCTGTATGTAACTAGGCTGCTAAAGTCTCTCGCATGTGATGGCATCACCATAATCAGGAGAAGTATCAGAATGTGTTTTGGGGAGTAAATCCACACACAGTGGGTATAGAAAAGAATCACCCCCCTTTTAAAATAATCACATTTTGTTGCTTTGCTGCCTGAAATGAAGATGGACACAGTTTTGGTTTGATCCAGCTGTATTTGCTCAGTGCAACTTATAACATTCAAGTGAAAGATATAACACCAACTTATAAAAAAAATGCAAAAACAGAATCACAGAGTTGGAAAAAGGATCACCCCCTTGTGTCAGTATTTTATTGAATGACTTTTTGTTTTAATCCTAGCTTTTAGTCTTTTGGGATATGTCTCTACTAACTTAGCACATCTAGACTTTACAATATTTGCCCATTCTTCTTTGCAGAATTTCTGACGTTGCGTAAAATTTGATGTTGGCAGTTTGTGGACTGCAGTCTTCAAGTTATTCCACAGGTTATCAATGGGGTTTAAGTCTGCGCTCTGACTAGGCCATGCAAGGACATTCACCTTTTTCTCCTTCAACCAGTATGGTAATTTTTGCTGTGTGCTTTGGGTCATTGCCATGTTGGAAGGTAAACCTTCTTCCCACTGACCACTTTATGGCAGAGGGCAGCAGATTTTCCTTCAGAATTTGATTGTATTTTGCCCCATCCATTTTTTCTTCTATCCTGACAAGTGCTCCAATCTCTTCTGCAGAGAAACACCCCCATAACAGGATATTACCACCTCCATGCTATACTGTAGGTATGGTGTTATTTGGATAGTGACCTGTAATGGATTTCCGCCAGATTTGTCGCTTAGTGTTGAGCCAAATAGTTCAATTTATTTTTCTCTTCTGACCATAACACCTTTTACCATGTGTCCTTAGAATCTTCAAGGTGTGTTTTGTCAAAGTACATTCAGGACTGCATGTGGCCTTTCTTAAGGAGTGGCCACATTTGTGATTATTGTCACATGCACACAATGACCACTCTTTGTCATAAATTCCTGCAACTGTTTCAGATTTGGTAGCCTCGACCAATTTTCGCCTGGCTCTTTCATCTAGTTTGGAGTGATGTCCTGATCCAGGGAGGGTCTGTGTTGTACCAAATATCTTCCACTAAAAAATAATTTTGACTGTGCTCCTAGGCATTGATAAAGCCTGACTTGTGCCTGTTCATAACTTTATCTCGGAGATCTTTTGAAAGTGCCTTGCCAGCAATAGTTGTTTGCTTCAGTTGCACTACCGGAGACTGAAATGCTCCTGGAAAGCTCTTTTCATGCTGTGCTAATCAAAATGACCACAGCTGATCACAGTTGTGCCTTTGAGAAGGAGAAGCTATACCTGTTTGAGTTTAGGAGAAGTGTGATCCTTTTACCAACTCCGTGATTCTGTTTTTGAATTTTTTTATTTTTTTTTTAACATGTTGGTGTTCTAGCTTTCACTTAGATGTTATAAGTTGCAGTAAAGTTGAGTAAATACAGCTGGATAAAACAAAAACAGTGTCTGTCTTCATGTCAGGCTGCAAAGCAACAGAATGTAATTCTTTTAAAGAGGTCTACCCAAGACATGTGTGAGAAATATATTAAAGTGACAACTATGTGTAAAAAAAAAATAATAATAATTTTCCAAAAACTTGTGGCGAAAAATAGAATCTTCCATGGACTCAACATGCCTCTAAACAAATAGCTTGGGGTGTCTACTTTCCAAAAAAGGGTAATTTGGGGGGTGTTTGAACTGTTCTGGCATTTTATGGCCAACATTAAAAGCTTCTGCCAAACATCATCCACTCTTCTAATGTTGGGCATACGTGTAATGTTCTTTTATTTATGTAGCCTGTGGGCTGAATGAGAAAAAAAAAAAACTAACCATTTCCTACTGATCGCTGGTGCAATGCTTTCCAGGCTTCTTTGGACAAAAAAATAATTGCACATTTACCTACAAAAAACTGCTTTTATCATTTTTGTCCAAAAGGTGTACTTATCCTTTTAAGCCACTATATTGTAACCCCAAATCGCAGGTTAAAACACCTTTTTAAATTTCATCCTCATTTATCATGGCTAACTGCACCCTACAGGGTTGCCCACTCTCCCCCTTACTTTTTGCTTTATGTGTAGAGCTCCTTGCTGTCTCCATTCACAAGAATCCTGACATGCATGGTATACCAGTTAGAGGAAAAGAATAAAAAATTTCCCTTTTTTGCAAATGATATTATCCTGACTTTAACCTAGAGCAAACTCACTTTACCCTGTTGATATGTGGAATTTGATGTGTTTATCTTATAACCTACTAGGGCACTATAACGATCCAAGTCTGCAGCTCTTCCCATTAATATCCCTGCTCCGGAAGTGCAACATCTGTCCTCCTTTCCTTACACCTGGAAATCTAGAGCACTTAAATATCTTGGAGTTTACTTCACTCCACCATATGCCACATTATATATAGAAAATTTCCCTCCAATTTTCTATCAAATTAGGTCAACAGTACACCAATGGAAGAAATATTTCTTTACTTAGTCACATCACATCTCTTAAAATGTCCATACTTCTTAACCACTTTCAGTCCGTACACTTTTACCCCCTTCCTGTCCAGGCCAATTTTCAGCTTTCAGCGCTATCACACTTTGAATGACAATTGCGTGGTCATGCACACTGTGCCCATATCAATTTTTTAGCATTTTTTTGAGACGGATAAAGCTTTTGTTTTGGTGGTATTTATTCACC